GATGATGTATCATCATGCCTAATTGTTCCATACATAGGACAAAAATGTAAGGACTTAAAGGATCCCTTTGTCAGATTTCTCTGGATGGTTTGAAGTCATTAGATTGTTTCCCATTCTAATTAACTTTCATAGAAGCAGTAGATATGTAAGCCATAATCATACTGATAAAGTGTTCTCTTAATCCTATGCTTTTCAGAGTATTTTGAATGAAATCTCAGTCTAATCTATCATAAGCTTTTTCCAAATCTACTTTATTTTCCATGAATCCTTTCCATCTTTGCGTTTTCCTCATGGTATATATGGCTTCTTGGGCAATAATTATGTTATCACTGCTATGGCGCCTATCAATGAAACTATATTGATTTGGTTGGATTAAGAAGTCCAAGTAACTCTTCAATCTATTAGCAAGAATTTTTGTGATGATTTTCAAGCTAACATTGCATAAAAAAATAGGTCGGAACTCTCATACAAGTTGGTTGCTCAACTTTAAGGATCGAGCAGATATTAGTTTGGTTAATCTCCTCAACTTTGGGTGGGTTGTTGAAAATTTCTTGTATATATCTGCAGACATAACTTCCAATAATCTCCTATTATGATTGATAAAAATGGGCTATAAGTCCATCTGGGCCTGGTGCTTTGAAGGCTCCCATAGAAAATACTACATCCTTGACTTCCTCATCTTTCAATTCCCTTTGAATATTTGCTATTTCCAAATTAAAAAGTCTTAAAAAGGCATTGCGCATAGTGTTGGGGTTCATTGTGCTCTCTGTTTTGGTATAAAGAGCTTGGAAGAATGAAGTTGCCATGTTCTTTAATGTCCTTTTGTTTTAAATCCATTCCCCTTGATCAAATTTAAGTGCTTCCACCCTTTTCTTTTTTCTCGTGATTATAGTTGATGCATGGAAGAATCTAGTATTTCTATCTCCCTACTTCAACCAATTACAATGAGATTTTTAAAACTAGATGAGTTCCTCCTGAACAAGCAGTTTGTGGTATTCTTTCCACAATTTATTCTACATTTTTCTCAATCCATTTCTATCACTTTTACTCCTCACCTTCTCAATGCTTTCAAGTCTCTTAATCAAATCTCTCTATTTTTCTTTACAGTTGTCAAATATTTGAAAAAAAATGCTAGAAACTAAAATAACATGACCTTAAACTGTACTTATGGGGTTACAAGTTTTAATCAAAATATACGTACTCTATTATTGATTTCAAATAAAAGATGTGCCAATTGCTATGCATTACATACAACTACTAGAAGTAGGAAAACATCACATTTTGTAATCGGACTAAGATTGGTTGTATTGATTTATATTTACGTTATATTATACAATATATATATATATATATATATTGATACATTGACTTGCAATGTACAATTTATAAAATAAAATTGGATGGAAATGTTTTACATAGAATTTAAAAAATGATTCACATACATTATTCAAATCATATTATATTTGTAAGAGTTTTTATCGGATGATGGATAAACGTGCACTAAAATTACAATTTTTATGACTAGTTCTACATGCATTGATTTGAGCTAAGCATTATGTTAATTTAATTAATATTCAGCTTGATTATATGCAGAGAAGCTAGTTTTCATGGCCTTGACTACATCTTGGGGGAAGACTGAAGCTCAAGAGTCAAGATAGCTAGGTTTGTAATGGGGCTAAGTTTGACTCAAGTTACAAATCCATTTTCTTAATTATTTCTTTGTTTCTGAGTCAACAAATTGTGATCTAAAATTAAAGTACCTTCAGAGTTCCATTGATCTAGGATTTGGTTTCGGTGGTACTCAGCACCAAAACATTTGGCAGTGTTTTTTTCTTCCTTTTTTAAAACCATAAACTCATTATATAAATAATAAATAAATATTATAAAATTATCATTTTAATATTTAATAAACAAATAACTACTAAGATATTAAAATTAAACTTGAGTAGTTCAACTAAAAATTTTAGTTTGAATAGTTTAGAACTGTACTAAAAATATAAAAAAAATGATCTGAAGATTTTAAAATTGAGGTTAAGTTAAACAAAATGAGCTAGTTTTTTTACACTATAACAAATCAATATGTGAATTCCTGTTAAGAGCAGTATTTATATTTAATACCCGACCATGCCTTGAATGATATTACCTCTCATAGATAAACAATAATGCAAAATTAATAAAATAAAAAAAGTATTTTATAAAATATTTTTGATTACAATTCTAATGTTTTTAGTACAGTTCTAAATTGTTTAGACTAAAATTTATATATAAATTGTTTAAGTCAAATTTAAATGAATCAAACTATTCATGTTCAATTTTAACATCTTAATATTTGTTTGTTTATTAAATATTAAAATAATAATTTTATAATATTTATTTATTATTATTATAATAAGCTTGTGGTTTAAAGAAACAAAAAAAAAACATTGCCAAGCGACAGTATTTTAGTGCTAAGCATCGCGAATGTAATTTAGTTAGCAAATAAATTTTTTTCCACTTAAAATAGTACAAGTGATTTATATATAAAGGACATATTTTAACACAAAAGAAATTTGTTGCTAATTTGATGTGGATGTTATTTACTTACCTGAGGCAATCTCAACACTATAATTTATCCCATAGCATTCCTCACATCAAGATTTATCCTAGCCACAGGCAACAATGATGATGGAGGGAGAGAAGTTCGGTGTTGTATAGGGGAAAGAGAGAACTAGAGCATCAAACCTTCAGTAGCAAAGGATGACTGCCACATCCCAAAGTTGAAGAGCCTATTGCTAGTGATGCAAAAGAACAAGGATCAGATGAGCTTTTATGATGACTTATGACGATGATCGATTAATGACGTGAAGTAAGGAAGAACAAGATTAATCTCCTTGCTTTCACATGACAGCACGACAGGGGAAAAAGAAGAAGAAGGTCTTCTTTTATAGTCACCGGCACAAGAGAAGAATGGCAAAGGAAGACCGAAGAATAGCTAGGAGGATTTGTTCGTGCACTCTCCTCCTCCTTCTCTCTTGGTATACTCTATCCCGAAATGAAGCAGAAGCTTCATGATTTATTGTCTCTGATTCCTTGTTTTTTAAACACCGAGGGAAAAAATGGTAATTTAATTCAATTTAATGGCAAAAATAAAATTTTCTTTTCATTAGTTTCAAAAACTAGAAGGGTTCAGCTTGATAAAAACAATCAATTTTGCCATAGTGGTCTCTTCTTTAGTAGCATTATCAGTTTTCCCTTCAATATCATGTGAAGATAATGAAGTACCCTCGTGAGATTGAGAGTTTGAAGGCTTAACCTTATATAAAATCTCTTGAATGTGCCTATAGCCATGTCAAACACCCCCAATCTTGGCTCGCTTAAGACCCTGCCCTTGACTATAAAGAAACAATTCACAGTGTGGGTTAGAGAACCTATCCAATATCTAACTACTACTAGAACTTCTACTAGAAGGATGATGTCTGGGTAGCATTTTCATTCTTATTATATAAAGGAACATAATTAATACCATTTTGACTATCTATACAGGGATAGTGATGATTGGAAGACTTTAGTTAGAGATATTCTAGTATTATTTGCTCAGAGATCAATGGGACACGGTTTTGGTGCTCATTAGAAATTATTGTTAGCTACAAGGTTGTTAAACTTGCAAGTTTGAATAAATTGATATAAATTCGAAATGTAAATTTAGATCATCAATTTATAAGAGTTTATCTGTATTAATAAATAGCCTTTAAAAATATATTATTAAATAATTAAAATATAAAATATGACAATGATTTAATTTAAATATATTTTAAATATAAATTATTGAAATTAAATCCATCTACATTCACAGATTATTATACTCAACATAAAAATTTAAAATGGGATAACTTATTTTTAGTATTTTTTATTTTTTTATTAATATTAGTTTTTTTGAGTTTTATTTTTTATTGAATTGGGTTTTACTACTTTTATGAATCAAGTTCTACACAATATATATTTATCTTGATTAATGAATTTATAAGCGGATTGACATGATTTTATAAGCTAAAAATGTAAAAATAGTAAATTAGGAGAGTGAACTCACAAGTTTAACTAAATTTTATTTAGTCCAACTTTATAAGTGAATTAACAATTTATAAGTTAAAAATATAAAAATAATAAATTCAAAAATTTAACAACAATGATTAAATATTAAATAATTTCAGAGTCCTTCATTGACATTCTCCAGTTTGAACATGCATTTACATCCTAACCCACCTTGCTGCATTGAATTGATAATTGAAATGAATTTGATCAACCAAATGTTTTATTATCTTTTGTTTTTTATTTAAGATCTATCTGCATTTCTTGTAATCTTTCCTCAATTAATCAACTAATTTATTATTATGTCAAAATCAACTAGGGAGATTATTTAACGATTTACTGAGATGCAGGCATGTACTTTATTTTTCAACGTCTTTCAACCTAATCACAGTTTTATCTGATTTGTTCGGGGAACTGTTTTTTGAAAAATTTCTCATGTGGCACCCAACCGTATACCACGTGATGAGAAATAGTCAACAAAACCAATGATACTTGAAGTTAATCCCAATCAATGAGAGGAGCAAAAATGAGCCAGTTTAAAAATTTAAAGGGAGGAATGGATCAAAATTACGTATGTATTTAATTTTTAATTTGCATTTGACAAAATTTTATTTAGAGATCCAACTATTTGTTAAATATAATAAAAGCATATTTTGAATATATTTTTTAAAATTATTTAAATAAGTCATAAATTTAGGACACTGTATCCGGCAAAATAATTTAGGTTACCAAATGAACGTTAGCTGTGTTCTTCAGTAGTTATGTTCAAAGCCAAGGGCATTACTGATTACATGTCGATACATTTCGTGAGGTTCCAAGTTTGAACCGTAGTGAGTGCCTGGACCCCACCTGGTTGTTTTAGTCGTAAAGGCGTTATAGCCTTATGGGAGCATTCGTTACCAAACCCGAGAAGAAAATTAACTCCAATTTTAAAGGGAAAAAATTAAATTTAAAGAAAATATCTTAGGGCTTGTATGGAAATTGCAAAATCGCGTGCGACCCGCATAGTGGCATCACCGATTCCGTTAAGTTCGCTTCTCTGTGGCCTTTGCTCCAGAAGATCTCTCGTCCATTGCTCCGAAAGCTGCGGCTTTTAGAGAGAGAAAATTGGTGGCAGCTGCAACTGCAGAGGGAGACTGTTGGGCGAGAGAGAGATTGAGAATGGGACGATGATTTTTTGAACGTTGGGATCGGAGGGAAAAAGTGGAGTTTTCTTTGGATATTTGGAGGGATTTGAGATTTCCATTTATTTTTTTCAAATTTTTTAAAAAAGCGAATTTGGTGTGACGGATTAGTATTTTGGGATTTGGATACGTATCCTATTGAATTTTGGCCTAAGTGCATGCAATCGGTTGGGGGTGGGCCCGCCCGGAACCCGGGGGTGGGGCCGGCTGGGCGGGCGACATCTACATCGTCAGCCGCATCACCATCTTCTTCATCGTCGGCAGTGTCAACGTCGCATTTGGGGCTGGACTCGTTGCAGCAGCAGCAGCAGCAACCACAGCAGCAGATAGGTTCTAGGCAGGTGTGGATTTATGGGTTCAGCTGAATGTCTATGATAATTTGGTAGAACATGTACTCTGAGAAGTGTTGGAAGGTGGAGCCTTGTTGTGCTTCTAATGGGGTTTGATTTTAGCGCCTGGTGGGTTTTGAAATTGGTTTTTGGCGAAAATTTGCATCAAATACATGTACTGGGGGTGTGGTTACCATAGAACGTCTAGTTTGTTAGTTGGTTGGGTCAGCAAATAATTTGAACTAATTGGTCAAATACAAAGCTGCTAATTTAGTAGAGTATAGAAACCGATGGGAGCACTTAACCTGCAGCTGTTTGGTTGCAATTGAGTGCTAAACGATGTCAGTTACATTATATCATAGTAAAATAAAATTTGCCATAGTCTTCTGTATATTTATATAATATATATATATATATATATATTCTTGTTAGTCTTTCATTTGCTTTATGTTCACCTGTCATAATAATCATTGGCGACTCTGACCTTCTTCATGTGCTATTACTTTTTCTGCGGTCCTTCCTGGAATTTTTATTTAAATATTGATTGATGATTGATTGACTGATGATTGATGAGAATTAAAACAACAGTCGCATAAACATTGACGTTCCTGTTTCGGTTTCAACTATTTTCCACTGATCTTTTTCTTCAGCTTTCCTTGTTAATGTTTGGACACTTTTAAACATGATGTAAGCTTTTAGGTGATTAAAACTATTCTTCACACTTCTCCGCAGTCTCTCTTGGAGTTTTCTTTCATACATTAATGAAGATTCAAAACGACAGTGTTATGCGTATTTTGGTTTTAGTTTCAGTTTACGATTCCCCCTCACCATATGCATTCTCTGTTATCATTTTCCCCCCTTCCTGGTGTTCTCGTCAAATATAGACAGATCAATGAGCTTTAGATTTCAACCAGACAAACCCAAAATGCAATTTGCTAGAAGTGTTTTGTGTCTAGTGTTTCCTATTGTCAAATTCAGGTTTAACTGTTCCTGGGGTATCTTACTTGTAGTTTCGTTCTAGTGCAAAATATAGGCGGGATAATCATCATCAGTATTGCCTTCTGTTTTTCAAAATGTTGGAGTCGTACATATAATTTAATGTATGTGGTATGTTAATGATGCGTAAGAATCTGTCCTCACAGTTTTTATTATTTTCTACTATGATTCAATAGTTTGCCACCATTTCATATTTGATCTTAAGACATGAATAAGGTAGAAAGTGCTTGAGAAATCAACTTAGATTCAGTTATACTCGAGAAGTATGCTCATATATATATATGGATCCTTATCCAATCATACATTGACGATTGCTTTAGTAAAATTGACTATTGCTTTAGGATTTTACTACTATTATAAATGTTATGGTGACTGATCATGTCTTTTTTGCTTTTTGTGAAACCTTTCACCAAATCATTGATGTTTTTGGTTGATGCAGTCATTGCACCAGCAGTTACTTCGAAAACCTGAAGGGAATGAAGCCTTTTTAGCATATCAAGCAGCCCTTCAAGGGGCATTTGGGGGTAACAATTTTTCATCTCCCAGTGCCATGCAGTTGCCTCAACAATCTCGGAAATTCAATGAATTAACTCAACATGGTCCCAACCAAGAGGCTCTTCTCAAGGGTCAAAACATTGAGCAGCAAATGCTAAATCCTGTTCATCAAGCATACCTTCAATATGCACACCAGGCTGCCCAACAAAAGTCTGCTTTGGCAGTTCATTCTCAGCAGCAGAATAAAATGGGAATGTTAGTGCCTTCATCTGTGAAAGATCAAGAAATGCGTATGGGAAATTTGAAAATGCAGGAGCTTATGTCTATGCAGGCAGTAAATCAAGCTCAAGGATCTACCTCCAGGAATGTACCCGAACAATTTTCTCGTGGGGAAAAGAAGATAGAGCAGGGACAGCAGTTAGCCCCTGATCTAAAAGGTGAGGGAAAGCCTTCAACCCAGGGACCAGCCGTGGCACAATTAATGCCTGGAAATATGATACGACCTGTGCAAACACCTGTTGATCGGCAGGGCATCCAAAATGTCATGAGCAACCAGATTGCAGTGTCTGCTCAATTACAGGCTATGCAGGCATGGGCACGTGAGCGTAATATTGATCTATCACATCCTGCAAACGCTAACTTAATTGCACAAATCTTTCCTATGAAGCAATCAAGGATAGTTTCTCAACAAAAAGCAAATGAGAGCAGCATGGGTGCTCAGTCATCACTAGTACCTGTTTCGAAGCAGCAGGTTACATCTCCAGCAGGTGCAAGTGATAGCTCTGCACATGCTAATTCATCAAGTGATGCATCTGGGCTGTCTGGTCCTGCAAAAGCCAGGCAGCTACCTGCCAACCATTTTGGCCCGCCAACAAACGTTGTTACTGCTAGCCACTCTGGTGACACAGCAGTGCAACAATTTAATAATCATAACAGAGAGTCTCAAGTATCTATGAGGCAACCTGTCTTAGTTGGAAATGGAATGCCTTCTGCACAACCCCAACAGTCTTCTACCAGCATGAATTTGGGTTCAGAACATCATTTTAATGCAAAAAATACATTATCTGGTCCAGAACCTCCACAAACGCAGTATTTAAGGAAGTTAAACCAATTGTCTTCTCAGGCATCTGGTGCTACAAATGAAGGGGGCTCAGGAAATTATGTGAAATCCCAAGGGGCACCATCTCAGATGTCTCAACAACGACATGGATTTACCAAACAACAGCTGCATGTTCTTAAAGCACAGATACTGGCATTCAGGCGGCTCAAGGTGCAACTCTGCTACTTCTTTCATTCTGTCTGCTTCTGTTTGCATATATCTCTGTTTCTCTGCTTTATATATGCATGTGTTATGGTAGTAGTGGTCAAAATGTTATAGACGTAATCTTAGTGGATATTGTACTCACTGACATTCTTTTCCTGGTTGTTGATAGAAAGGAGAGGGTACCCTTCCCCAAGAGCTTCTTCGGTCTATTGTTCCACCAACTCTTGAGCTGCAATCTCAGCAGCCAATCCATCCTTCTGGAGGACAGAATCAAGATAATTCAGCTGGAAATATCATGCCAGAACACTCAAGGCACATAGAATCTGAAGCAAAGGACTTGCAACATATCCATGCAGTTAATGGACATGGTTCTTCAAAGCATGAAACTTCTGCCAGAGATGAGAAATCCACTGTCTCAGCAGTTCATATGCAAGCTAAGCCTGTTGTGACAAAGGATCCTGCTCCAATGTTGTCTTCTCAAAGGGAAGAGCAGCAACCATTTGGTTGCTCTGTTAAGTCAGATCAGGAAAGTGAACGTGAAACTAACAGAAATCCTGTTAGGAATGAGTTGCTGTTAGACAAGGGAAAGGCCATTGCACCACAGCCTTCTGCATCTGAGTCAATGCAAAATAAGAACCCTGCACAAACAAGCACAGTTGGGCAGCCAAAAGACGTAGGATCTACAAGAAAATACCATGGACCTCTATTTGATTTCCCCTTCTTTACCAGGAAACATGACTCCTTTGGGTCGTCAATGATGGTAAGCAGCAACAATAATTTGTTGCTGGCATATGATGTCAAAGATCTTCTAGTTGACGAAGGAACGGAAGTAATTAACAAGAAAAGGGTAGAGAATTTAAAGAAGATTGAAGGTCTACTAGCAAATAACTCAGAGAGGAAGCTAATTAGGCCAGATCTTGTGATGAGGTTACAAATTGAAGAGAAAAAGCTTCATCTTAGAGGCCTTCAGGTGCGTTTAAGGGATGAGATTGATCAACAGCAGCAAGAGATAATGGCAATGCCAGATCGGCAATATCGTAAGTTTGTTAGATTGTGTGAGCGTCAACGTATGGAATTGGCTAGGCAAGTACAGGCATCTCAGAGAGCTATAAGGGAGAAGCAACTGAAATCTATATTTCAGTGGCGTAAGAAGCTTCTTGAGGCGCATTGGGCAATTCGTGATGCTCGGACTGCTCGGAATAGGGGGGTAGCCAAATATCATGAGAGAATGTTAAGGGAGTTTTCAAAACGTAAAGATGACGACAGGAACAAAAGGATGGAAGCCTTGAAAAATAATGATGTTGACAGATATAGGGAGATGTTGCTGGAGCAGCAGACTAGTATCCCGGGTGATGCTGCTGAGAGATATTCTGTTCTTTCAACTTTCTTAACGCAGACAGAAGAGTATCTTCAGAAGCTTGGAAGTAAGATAACAGCTGCCAAGAATCAACAGGAAGTAGAGGAGGCAGGAAAAGTTGCTGCAGCTGCTGCACGGTTGCAGGCATGCTTTATCAATCCCTTCTTCTGTTGCTTATCTTTTAGTCCTATAAGTTAGAAGAAAATATTTATCCCAATGGCTTAAGACAAATGTTTATGTTTCTGTTTTTCTTTTCAATATAATTTCTTTGATGATTTTGGTTTCAATGTTTTTCATGCGTACAAAATGAATTTGTTCTTCCCTTAGCTTGACACTTTGAATCACTTGTTTACCACTATGAGGTTATGTGGTTTTGACTGAAGGGTCTTTCTGAAGAAGAAGTCAGAGCTGCAGCAGCTTGTGCTGGAGAAGAAGTGATGATTAGAAATCGTTTTATGGAGATGAATGCTCCTAAAGATGGTTCATCTGTCAGCAAGTGAGTGTGGTTTCCTTTATAAATAATGTTTCTTTAGCCTGATAATGAAGACACTGCTAAGGAAAGATGTAATATTATTACTATCCGTGGACTTAAAATGTTTTTAAGGAAATATGTATTCATGTTTACAGAGATTTTCGTTTGCTGTATTTGTTTTTAATTCTTTTAATGATTTTGTTGAATAATGCATCTGAATGGTTACTTTTATTGGTCACTTAGGTATTACTCACTTGCTCATGCTGTGAATGAGAAGGTCATAAGGCAACCATCAATGTTGCGGGCTGGAACATTGAGAGATTATCAGCTTGTAGGTTGCTGTATTTGATGGCATTGGTGTTATGTTGTCTTCTCGGGTAATTTAAGGTTTTGACATGTTTCTTTTGTTTAAGGTTGGCTTGCAATGGATGCTTTCTTTGTATAACAATAAGTTAAATGGAATTTTGGCGGATGAGATGGGTCTTGGCAAAACTGTGCAGGTTAGTGTTTTAATTGCTGGAACCCTTAGGCATTCACACCGCCCAATTAAGCTTGTTCTGTGATATTCATGCAAGACATTCTTTTGAAGTAACTTTTATTTTTTAGTATACTGCACATTATTTGTTGTTTTACTTTTCTCTTTTATAGACTGAAATTTGTCTTCTCTCTTTAGGTTATGGCATTGATTGCCTATTTGATGGAATTCAAAGGGAACTACGGCCCACATCTCATAATAGTCCCGAATGCTGTTTTGGTTAACTGGAAGGTAAAACGCACTCCTTTTAAACGCACTCCTTTTTCTTGGACGTTCCTTTCCTTTGTGGCTGTGCACTTTAACATGGCGGTGTTCGTTGTGCAGAGTGAATTTTATAACTGGTTACCATCTGTGTCATGCATTTTTTATGTTGGAGGGAAGGATCAACGATCAAAATTATTTTCTCAAGTAAGTATTTATCAGCTTATTTTGATAATCTGTCATGAGTATTTTTATATTCATTGCAGAATTGCCTTTTCTGTTTTGCTTACAGGAGGTTTGTGCGTTGAAATTTAATGTCCTTGTGACAACTTATGAGTTCATCATGTATGACCGGTCAAAGCTTTCAAAAATTGATTGGAAGTATATCATAATTGATGAAGCACAGAGGATGAAAGATAGGGATTCAGTTCTGGCACGTGATCTTGATCGATATCGTTGTCAGAGACGCCTGCTTTTGACTGGAACCCCCTTACAGGTCTGCTTTACTTTGACACATGCATTGTTCTATGTTTTTACTTATTGATCTTAATTGTGTATCCAATGATCCATGGTTTAAGGCATATATTCTATATCTCAATTTCGTGCAGATTTTGATTGATAAATCATAGGCATATGGTACGATATTATGAATATGGCTTATGAACTGAAAAAAGCAGTGATTTTTATTACAGAATGATTTGAAGGAGCTTTGGTCCCTTTTAAACTTACTCCTTCCTGAGGTTTTTGACAATCGAAAAGCATTTCATGATTGGTTCTCGAAACCTTTTCAAAAGGAAGGCCCTAGTCAAAATGCAGAGGATGATTGGCTTGAGACAGAAAAGAAAGTTATAATTATCCACAGACTTCATCAGATTCTTGAGCCATTCATGCTCAGGCGTCGTGTTGAAGATGTAGAAGGCATGCTGCCACCAAAGGTTAGACTATGGCCTTTTGATCTTTTTCTGTTTATATGGTGTCTCATTTCTAATATAAGTGTTGCTGGGCAGGTCTCTATAGTTTTGCGATGTAGAATGTCAGCTATACAGAGTGCTATTTATGACTGGGTCAAATCCACTGGTACCCTTCGTCTTGATCCTGAGGATGAGAAACATAAGGTTCAAAAGAATCCAGTCTACCAGACAAAGCAATATAAAACGTTAAATAACAGATGCATGGAGCTACGTAAAACTTGCAATCATCCATTGCTTAACTATCCATTCTTCAGTGACTTATCCAAAGATTTCCTTGTAAAATCTTGTGGGAAACTGTGGATCTTGGATCGAATCCTTATAAAACTTCAAAGGACTGGACACAGAGTTCTGCTCTTTAGTACAATGACTAAACTCTTAGACATTTTGGAAGAATACCTGCAATGGCGACGGCTTGTCTACCGGAGAATTGATGGGACAACGAGTTTGGAAGATCGTGAATCAGCCATAGTGGATTTCAATAGTGCTGGTTCAGACTGTTTCATCTTCTTGCTTAGTATTCGAGCTGCTGGGCGAGGCCTTAACCTTCAGTCTGCTGACACTGTAGTCATATATGATCCTGACCCAAATCCTAAAAATGAGGAGCAGGCAGTTGCTAGAGCTCATCGCATTGGGCAGAAAAGAGAAGTCAAAGTTATCTACATGGAAGCTGTTGTAGACAAAATCTCCAGCTATCAAAAAGAGGATGAACTGAGAAGTGGAGGCACTGTTGATATGGAGGAAGAACTTGTAGGTAAGGATCGTTATATTGGATCCATTGAAAGCCTGATAAGGAACAATATTCAACAGTATAAGATTGATATGGCCGATGAGGTCATTAATGCTGGACGTTTTGACCAAAGAACAACACATGAAGAGAGACGCTTGACTTTGGAGACATTATTACATGATGAAGAAAGGTACCAGGAGACTGTCCATGATGTTCCCTCTTTACAGGAGGTAAATCGCATGATTGCTAGGAGTAAGGAGGAACTTGAATTGTTTGATCAAATGGATGAGGAATTGGATTGGATTGAAGAGATGACAAAGTATGATCAGGTGCCTAAGTGGCTTCGAGTAAGTACAAGAGAAGTAAATGCCACTATTGCTGCTTTATCTAGAAAACCATCAAAGAACACTCTATTAGGCGGTGATGTCAGCGTGCAATCCAGTGAAATGGGATCTGAAAGGAGAAGAGGACGACCCAAGGGAAAGAAGAATCTTAATTACAAAGAGTTAGATGATGAAAATGAAGAATTCTCTGAAGCAAGTTCTGATGAAAGAAATGAATATTCAGCCCATGAAGATGAAGGGGAAATTGGAGAATTTGAAGATGATGGGCTTAGTGTGGCAGATGGAACTCAACCCAATGATAAGGATCAATTGGAAGAAGATGGTCCAATTTGTGATGCTGCATATGAATTTCCTCAGTCCACAGAAAATGTAAGAAACAGTCTGACAGCTGAAGGATCTGGATCCCCTGGAACATCCTCAGGCAGTCAAAGATTAACACAGACAGTATCTCCTTCAGTTTCCTCTCAGAAATTTGGTTCCCTCTCTGCACTGGATGCCAGGCCAGGTTCCCTTTCAAAAAGGATTGTACGTGTCTACCTCCTATTGTCATTTTTTAATCTGTCGTTTTGAGTAGTTGGCTGTTTTTAACTAGTTCTGATTAGTTGATAGGCCTTTTTGGTTCTGGACTAAAACTGAACTTAACTGGCCTTATTGGTTGTGCAAAATGGAGGACTTTATCAGTTTTCGGTTTTGGTTGATTTTGTTCAGTTTTAGTATGGTTTGCTTAAAATTTCTTAAAGTGATTTTTTTTTTTAATTTTTTAGACATTTGTTTTCCTTTTCCAAACAAAGTTTGCTGGGCCCTTTTTTTTGGTCGAGCTCAACAATATGTCAGGAAAAAAATCTCATTCATTGTTCGCCCAATTCATTCTTCAGCTGTCACCGAAAAAAACTTTTATCATTGGTTTGATTTTTTTGAACCCATCCAAGCCTGACTAATAAGTGAATCAATCACATCAGTTTTGACATTCGGGAAACCAATTTTTTCTAATTTTTTTTTAATTTCTGATTAGTTCAATTGGTTTGGTTTGGTTCAATTTGAATGACCTTAGCTCTGATTATGTTATGGCCATTTTCCCAGACTGATGAGTTAGAGGAGGGAGAAATTGCTGTATCTGGTGATTCTCACATGGATAATCAACAATCTGGGAGTTGGATTCATGATCGTGATGAAGGTGAAGATGAACAAGTTTTGCAACCTAAGATTAAGCGGAAACGTAGTCTTCGTGTTCGACCTCGTCATGCCCTGGAGAGGCCTGAGGAAAAGTCTGGTGGTGAGGGGGGATCTCTTCACCGAGGAGGATCCTCTCTTTTGGCTGTTCATGTAGACCATAGATATGAAGTGCAATCAAAGACCGATCCTGATGAAAAGTCATTTGGAGGCTCCAATGCTGGCAGGCATGATCAAAACGAATCATCCTTAAAAGTAAAGAGAAATTTACCTTCAAGAAGAGTATCTGCTACCTCCAAATTACAGGGCTCACCTAAGTCTAGCAGATTGAACTGCATTTCTACTCCTTCTGAGGACGGTGGACACTCAAGAGAAAGTTGGGAGGGGAAGCCTATCAACTCTAGTGGGTCTTTGGCCTTGTCCTCCAAAATGCCTGAAATCATCCAGAGAAGGGTATGTGTTCTGTGTTGTGATCTTCATCTTTTCTATCTTTGCTGGTCTTGTCACTTCTTGGTTGCTCGAATGAATAGGTCTTAGTGTTGCTCAGAAGGAATGTTAATTAGAAACCATTATTGACTTCTCCAAACTTGATATACTATAATATTATGAAACATCAATAGTTTGTTAGGTATCTGATGATATATATTAGATTTTCTTCTTACTGGTTGCAATCCTGCAAATATGACCATTGCCCCTTTGCAACTATAACTAAAACATTCTGTTGCCTATATGAAACCATCCTCACTTCCTCTGCTAAACTTGGACGGGGAGCAGTGCAAGTGGTGAACTGCTTTGCTAAATTAATTCAAGTTTGTTAGTCAACATTGGCTAAATGAAGGAAAGTACTTTATTAAGGCTGCAGGTCATACTGGAGTTGGTACTCGATTCCTTTTTCTCTTATTGTGGGTGGTGTGGTGGAAGGGCTTCAGCGTAGTGGTAGCAATGTGGTGGGCTCGTTATGTTCCATGGATCTCACATTACCCTCTCTTTCTGTATGGTGGCATCAATGTTTTAAGTAGAAAAATATTCCACATTTAACATTAATTATCCACTTCAATGATCCTGATAAGACACATCGGATGCCCAGAGGACAATTCCAGATACATTTGCCATTTTGTTGGTTTGGTGAACTTCCCCAGCTTGGTTGAAAATGTTGGACATTTTCCGTGGAATACTTTTATACAATGAAGGAGTCTTACTTTTTAGGTGAATAGAGCTAAAGAAACTTCAAATTATTCTCTTTTCAAATTTAAAGACCTATTTTATTGCTCATCAACAATGCAAAACTATTTTATGAAGTTTTCTCCATTATCATGAACCATAGATTTTTCCCTGCTCGTGGCATGACTAAGTTGCTATTCCAATTTCCTATGTTCCTCTCTTCCTCTCCCTCTCTCACCTGGTGATAAGATGTTCGCTTCTCATTTATTGTTTGTCTGATTATGCACTGTAATTATTTGAACTCAAACTTTTTTTCTTGCAGTGTAAGAATGTAATTAGCAAGCTCCAAAGGAGAATAGACAAGGAAGGTCAACAAATTGTACCTTTGCTAAAAGATTTATGGAAGAGGATTGAAAATTCAGGGTACACAGGTGGATCTGGGAACAGTCTATTGGATTTGCGGAAGATTGACCAGCGAATTGATAGAGTGGAGTATAGTGGAGTGATGGAGCTTGTGTTTGATGTGCAGTTCATGCTGAAGAGTGCAATGCATTTTTATGGATTTTCACATGAGGTGAGAATTTCTGGTGTCACTGTCTTGTGATTTGGATTTTGAGGGAAAATGCATTAACTAGTTGAATTTGCATCTTTGATATGGCAAGCAATAAGCTTTTAATAGCATCTCTTAGCATGATTCTTCTTCTTCCTCTTCCGGATTCCGAGATACATTTGTGAGTTACTTCCGGCAAACATATGTTTGGGTCCTTTTGAAGGGAATTCAAAGGACGCTTAAAGCACATTCATCTCTTTGAGGCCTTTTTTGTAACCATATATCAACAAACTGCACCGGAAATTATTCAATGACCCTTGGAAGCACTTAAATCACTGATTGTTCATTGATGCAAAATCAACCCAATGAATTATTAGATGTCTGTATGCAAGTGACTACTGTGTTTTGTTGTTTCAAGGATCACTTCATCCTGAAAACCTAAGCTTAAACTGTTAAGTGACAGATCATGAATGATTTTATTTATATCTTCTATAAGCTCCTCATGCAAAAGCCCCTTGGCTTGAAGGAAAGGCAGCAGTCACACCTTGTTCTGAGATGTACTTTAATTAGAATGAGAATTAACATTAGCTTCCCTTGTGGTTTTTAACAACCTAAATGCACCTCTCTACTCAGTTTAACATATTTTTTAACATAGCTTATAAACCTATGCTTTTGTCCTTCTAGAAAACTATTGTGCAATTTTGGTATGATTGAATGGGTTTTAAAGGAATGGGAATAGAAGTAGGAGTAGGAGTAGGAATGGGTTTGAAAATATGTTTGGTATGGCAATGGAATGCTGGTATAATTTTTATTTGATATCTAATAACAACAAAATACCATAATGCCCTTAAGAAAAAGAATAAACTAAAACAGCTGCACCAACAACCCTGCCGTTCACCACTGCAGGGACCACCACAGAAAAATCAACATCTTCTCAACGTCGCTGTTGTATCAGATGAACTCAAGTATTGTTGTTCAATCTGGTTCTCACATAATGAGATCTGGTCTGGTGGTGCCGGTGATCTTGTTCATTGAGATCTGATGTGGGGTTGAACTGCAGAATCTGAGAGAAGAACCAGCAACCTTGCGATGACCATGGGGGTTGAAGACCTTGTTGTTGGAAGTTGCAAATTCAGGTTAAGAGGAGAGGAAAAGGGTGGGTAGAATAATGCAAATCTTAGAGGGAACAGCTTGCTGTCGATTATGGAGGAAGATCAAGATGGCAGTAGGGAAGAGCTTACTGTCAATTATGGAGGAAGAGAGATGGTGGTAGAAAAGAGCTTGCCGTTTAGCATAGTGGAAGAGCAAGGTGATAGCGAAGAGCTTGCCATCAACTACGAAGTAAGAACAAGGTGTTAGTGACAGAGAGCTTGCCATCAATTATGAAGAGCAAGGTGGTGGTGAGTTTTGGAGGGAAGGTGTGGGTGAGGAAGAGATAGAGTGGCAGATTTCAGGTGATGGGTAAAGTGGGAATATGATAAATATTGCAAGGACGGCATGAGACAAAAAATGCATTCCATGTAGGGGAGAGAGATTCCTCCCATTTTCACTCCTATGTTTGAGAGAAGGATTCTGAAGGAAGCATTTTGCTGCCTAGAAAACCTGACAACTGGCGCTCACCCTCCCCCTGCCCCAAGTGCCTTTTCCTTTGTACCAAACAGTGCCTTACTAGCCTAATTCAATCAGGTGCAAATCACTAAAAGCTTAGTCAATGTGTATACTCGGTAAAACTGGGGGCTGAGTGTTCGTTTTATGCATTAAAAGAGGTTCTATTCTAAATTGAAACTCGAGAGCAAAGCAGGCAAGTGTTTGCTTATAAACTGTGGTGGTGAATGTAATTTACTCATGTGACTATTCTTCGGATTCCATCTTTCTCCTACCGTGATATGTATTGTCCCCTCTAGTGTCATTTCCTATTTCATTTCTCAGAGATTGCAGACACAGAAACTCATTGATGTGCTCAGTCCTTGATTAGATTTTGGTGCGAAGTACTTGAATCATCATCATCATCATCTAACTTTTCCATCATAATTGAAGATGCATTTACATGTACTGACTTACATTAAACTAAATGAATTTTGAGAAAGCTTAGCATTAATGTTGGTTAAATTCAATGATCTTGCTTTTGTTTTTGAATCTTGTGAAGTTGTATTTGGCTGCATGGGTCTTGTAAAGCGTAAGTGTATCAGTGATGCAAATTTTTATATGGCCTACTGATTCTTCCTTTGCCAGTTGAACAACATATTATCTCTGTATCGAACTCTTGTGGAAGTGTTGACTTCTCATGGATATATCATTATTTACAGGTAAGATCTGAAGCGAGAAAGGTTCATGATCTCTTTTTTGATATCTTAAAAATTGCTTTTCCTGATACGGATTTTCGAGAGGCAAGAAATGCGCTTCCTTTCACGGGTCAAATTTCAGCCAGTGCTGTAACATCTCCCAGACAGATGGCTGGCAGCCAAACCAAGAGGCACAGGACATTAAATGAGGTGGAAATTGATGCAAACCCTTCACAGAAGCACCTGCAGCGTGGATCTGCTTCAAGTGGGGAAAACACCAGGATCAAAGTTCATATTCCACAGAAGGAATCAAAATCTGGAAATGGAGGTGGCAACAACCGAGAACTTCAGCCGGATGATTCTCCGCTGCTTACTCATCCAGGTGAACTGGTTGTATGCAAGAAGAGAAGAAATGACAGGGACAAATCATTGGCCAAGTCTAGGACTGGGTCAGTTGGCCCGGTCTCACCACCTAGCGTGGTACCTGCTGCAAGAAGTCCAGGGCTTGGTTCCGTCCCAAAGGATGCTAGAATGGCGATTGGCCAGCCATGTCAGCAACCAAATGGATCTGGTGGGTCAGTTGGCTGGGCGAATCCAGTAAAGCGATTAAGGTCAGATTCTGGGAAGAGAAGACCAAGTCATCTGTAGATTTCTCGAGGGATTCACATCATGGAAAAAGGTTGCTGCTAGTTTCAGGATGAATTTGTTAGATTAAAAATAGAGTTTAGCCCATACTGTTAATATAGATTTTTAGGTCCTCCACCATTGTATTCATGATTACCTCTAACGGGTTAAATATCGATGGTTCTCCAATTTTTTGTATTTGGGTATCTGCGTCTCGCAGCATTTGTGTTCCTTTAGATAGGTGAAAATCATGTATAGTAACTCGGTGCTTCGTGTTAGTCAATGTAAAAGCCTGGTTGACTTATAGTAGTTCCCTACCACAAATTATGATGGGAATTAAATATGGAGTGAACCTCTTCACTTGTTTGTAAGCTAGAATAAAAATGAATCAAAAGGAGGGAGCGGCTTGGATTTTGACAAGCTACAGCTTTGGTTTAATTGGAATTTGCAGGCTGTAAACTTGCGCAGCAAGTATTGGCCAGCCCAGCAAAGAAAAAAGAATTACTTAGCAAGCTACTCTTGTGGTTTGGAGCTTGGACTAATGTCACGGAAGTTTCTTTTTTCCATTTTGGCTGTACAAGATCGGCTTTGCTTGTTAATCTCTCAGATCGAATCAACTACTAATTTCAGCAATCCAAGTCACTAAAAAATACTTATAGGAACACGTACTTGTGTTAGCAACATCTAAACAGAATATTTGGAAATAAGAAGATAATTTAGGTACTTAGCCTTTGATGTTTAATATATTTTGATAGAGATAGAAGAGAAAGAGGGAGAGAGAGGAGGCAGAAGGGAAATAGAGAGGAAGATAAGATTAATTTCATTCATAATGACCCCTTACAACCTAAAAGCCTATTTATAGGTAATATAATTAAATACCCAAATTACCCTTAGATTTCAAATTACTCCTATTACTCCTAATTTCCATGTATCAATACTCTCCCCAACAAGAGATTCATATCCTCAAGGATCAGTACAAAGGTAGGAAAACATATAGACTTATCTTTTTTTTTTTTTTTGCCATAAGTGGCTAAACTTGTAAAAGAAAAATAATTTGAAAACAAAATTAATGGACATCAAAATCCCAAACTTGTTGCAATTGTCCAAAGGCTCAACATTGTTGCAGTTGTCCTTCAATCCTAAGGCCCATTATGGCAATCCACATAGACCCATGTGACAACCATTGCTGAAACATGAGGAATTGTCCGTCCAACAGCTTTTTATAGTAATTAGGGCTTATAAGTACTTGAGAAGCCCAAATAAGCATTGTTAATAAGCCCATACCTACTATATTTTTGATAATTGGCACGTGATTGTGAATCACACTTAGGCCTTATTTGGTTCAAGGGGAAGGGAGGGGATGGAGGCGAGGGAGAGGGAGGGGAGGGAGGCATCCTCCCAAATTGGGGGGGGGGAGTTTTGGAGAGGAGGGGAGGGGAGGGGAGATTTTTTAAAATGTCCCCTCCCCTCCCTTCCCCTCTCCTCCAACCAAACACTACCTTAAGGCATGTGTGGTCTTAAAGGGTTCTTAGAAATGCAAAATACCTTGACCCTTAGAGCCAACACTTGTTGTCACAGAAACAAGTCTGTGCTGCGAGAGAAGATTTGAGAACCTCCAACAAAAACCTTAAACCTGTTATCTCTTTGCCAACATCACTCAACCTAATGCCTTCAACAACCCTACCCAACCCAAGTTTCTAGCCATTTACTATCACTACAATCGCATAGCTTCGCTTCCTCACTGACCTCGAGAAAGTTGATTGTGACAGCCTCATACTCACCCTAACCCCTTATGGCTGCAGCTCCACTCATGCTTGGTAAGTCAAGTTTGTTGGACTAACATTCGTCACTATCTTGACGAACATTTTTCTAGTTACCCCTTTTAATGTCTGAAGTTTCTTGCCATTAATGATGAATGGTGCCATACCATGATGGTAGGCATTGTGTTTCCCATAAGGAAGGAAGACTGTAACGATATTATTTGAATTGTTGAGGATTCTTTGTGCCTATTTTTGAATGTTGTTGATGATGATGATCTCTCACCTTGTGAAAGGTGCATAACTATAGGTGATAATGGTGACTAGAATTTTGGTGCTCGAGTTGATGGTAAATATGTCGGTGATGAAGGGCCAAGAAGATGCATGGGAAGAGGAGAGTCAATAATTGAAGAAGTCATGGAACCATTTAATGATTTTACAGCTTTGTGTGTCTCCATCTCTTTGCTATCTTTCTTCTTTTGGTCTTCTGTAATGCTTGCAATGACATCTCCAATTTCAAGGCATCAATGTTCCATGTCTTGATCAATTCCTCCATCATCTCCTCATTAGTAAGGGTGAGTATTGAAACCACACCAGTCTCGTTGATAACTGGCTTGTTTGTGTTTTTGTCTTTCACGTCGAATGCTCGTTGTTGTGATTACTCATTCATTGTTGTAGTATAGGCAGAGGTAATCATCCAGGGGTGTAGGCTCTAGTTGATAAGCATAGAAAGATTAGCTGAGATTTCGGTCATAAGTTGAGACATGGTTTGCTTAATCTCAATAAAGTCTGATTTGGCTGGTTGCGTTGGAGCAAGGCCAATTGCATTTCCAAACAATGTTTGAGGGTGCCAATCTGTTCATTGTATCGGCTCTTCGGCAAAGCTATGGCCAAAGAGGAGGCTTTGATACCTTTGATTAGAGGTAGAGCAGGGAGGGAGAGAGAGGAGGAAGAAGGGAAATAGAGAGGAAGATAAGATTAATTCCATTCATAATGACCCTTACAATCTAAAGGCCAATTTATAGATAACATAACTAAATACCCAAACTACTCTTATATCCCAAATTACCCTTATTACTCCTAATTTTCATGTATCATATTTGATTCAGTCAAATCAAAACAAGTAACTTTTCAATTAATAATAATATTAATAATAAAATTTTATTATAAAATAAATAATTAAAAAATACATATTTCTTGATTTGATTTGGAAACAAATATAAGGCTATAAACTTTAGTTTGTAAGGCACAAGTTTCAAATGAACAGATTCTGATGCTTCAAAACTTGTCCCCTATTGTACATGTCTCGATCTTCATTCTCTCAACTTTGATTGGGGGGAAAAAATTTATTACTTAACAAAAGAAATAAAATGATCAGATTGTGGGCTTTTTTCCGGCCCATTTGTAGCATTTACAGCAGAGAGATAATCTTCCAACTGAAACAAGGTTATGTGATCTCTACCGCAATTTGACTTGAAAAGGGTCATGCTTGAAGTAGCATTGAAATAGAACTCTGTAATAGATAATGAGTTTTATTACGATCAAAAGAATAGGCTTTACAATGTATAAACAGTAACCGGAATGATAATTAGAGGTCACCTTTAGAATGTCATCTAACTATCATTCTCTCTAATCTATCATGGTTAAATGCCTGTCATGCAGTATTTGCTCTGGTCAAACATCTATGATAAAGTGTTGAGTTCCAAATCATCTGTTTGAATTGCTTGAATACGAATTTGAGTACCTGAATGACAAAAAAAAAAAAAAAAACTGGGATCAGTTAATTTTAAGATGAAGTTTCACAAATAAAATTTAACTTTTAAACCAAATTGTAACTGTATATGTGATTATTGAAAATGTGTAGTGATCTGAACAACTTGGAGAAGTCGATCAAAATTCAAAAGATTGCTCCTTTTGAAGAGAACACATGGAAAAGACTAAGCGATGCACAATTATTTGACAAGCATTACAGCTGAGGAGATAAAGTGAACAATGTGTGCCAATTATTACTCTTCACGCCACTTCCCTAATTTTTGAAAGCGTGGGAAACTAATGTCTTGAACATGCAGTACGTACAGTTCTATAGAAGTTTTTCTTTGCTAATCAAAATTTATTTTAACATGAAAAAGGTGAAATAAAATATATTAACTTTTTTTTAATGAAAATCTAATTGTGACATTGGAAATCTTCGGATGAACTTTTGAAAAGGAGAAATAAGATTATCATAATTTTTGCTAACGATAGTACTAGAAATAATTCCTGCCATCAAACCATGCTCAACTGCACAAGCTATGGACTTGAAAGAGTTGGAACTTGGAAGGAGAAATAAGATTATTTCAATTATACATCATTTACAATGACTGGTATATCTAACATTAGGCAGAGGAATTTTCCCCCGCCAATGACTAGGTTCATTACATTCCTCTTCATGTGATGCGGTGAAAAAACACAACCATGGACGACAACATTTACAGATTAAATGAAGAGATTGAACAGGAGCATGCATGAATATATCTGGTCAGGGATCTGCTTCCCCGGCCACCTGGTCATCATCATCTGAATCATATTCATCTTCACTCAGCTCCTCATCACTTGATTTTTCTTCTGTTACAGCTCCGACGTCTTCAGGCTTGGCATGCTTCTCACAGTACTCTGAACAATGAAGCCATGTCAAATTAAGAACTTACATTCTGCAAGGAGGAGGCTTGAGAAAGTTCTTGCCAGAGAAAAAAGAGAAGAAATTAAAATAGGGATTAGCATTAACTCTTTTTTTTCCTTCTCTTTTCTTTTGGTTTTTTCCCCAAAAGAAAGAAATCTCTTCATGTCATAATTCTATTGACAAATTTCATAACAAAACTAGAGCCAAGTCTTTTCCTTTCTGAGATACAAATCAGAGAACATTCAGCAATTGGATCTCGGAACAAACAAAGCCTAACCAGGGTATATGAAAAACTTCAAGACCAGACTGTATTCCTTGTTCACATTATACCACCTCCCAAAAAGTATCATATTACTAAGAATTCCCCGTGGTAATGTTTTAACACTAGTCCAAGCAAATTCTTCCATAACAGGTTATTATCTGCCACAACCAGGGTTTAAACCAAACTAAGCATATAAACTTTCAGAAATAAACTCCAAGACATTTGGTTTAGCTTCCACATATTTTTTGTATGTACATATGTGCAAGCCAAACCAATTTTCAAAGTAAATTTCTGAAGGTTTGAGTTCTTTTTTATAATCAGGTGCAAACCCTATAGCTATTGGCACACAGTACTTTGTTATGGAAGATCACCCTTGGACTAGTTTACAAATGCATCAGCTCGAGAGAAAACTCCTTAAAATTTCATGCTATAACATTTTTTCTTTCTTTTTCTTTTTCTTTTTTAAAAATCATGCCATCACTATGCCTTTTCCTATGAAAAGCCTCACCATGGTCTCATTAAGCATAATAATTCATCAAACGGTAAACTCCTACTCCTGCCCAGGTCTATACATTTCACTGTTATTTTAGGATGTGGTGGGGTGGTGGCACCATTGAAGATGGTTGCCAACTAGTAATAGCAGATGGTGGTAAAATCAATTAGTTGAGTTCTTTTGGCAGATAAGAACCTGAGAAATTGAGGTCAATAATGCAGTAAGTAGGAGAGAAGTAACATCAGCTTCATTAGAAACAGAGTAACCAAAAGTGATGTGTATGTGTGTGGATGAACACACATTTTGCAGTTTGCAAAGAGATTATATGAACTCTGCATCTACTGCCCCAAAGACGAAAAAGTTAGCTGCCATGAATCTCTCTTGGTTTAGAGTTTAATAATAACTATTATAAGGAAGAACTGAAGAAAGAAAGAGAAAATGAAGAGAAGGTAGTCTATGCTCAACTGAAATAAACATGAGCAAGTTTTCAATATTGAACAATAGTTGTGCACATCAATTAGAAATAAGTGACCAAGGAGCAGAGCCCCAAAAATGCCTTTAACCATAGTATCTGAAATAAAACGATGCAGGTGATCAAGACTTGTACCAAGGGAAGATGGAAAAGGAAAATCAGATAGGATCAATACCTTTAACCCTTTGTTCATAAGTATCACGGTCACGCATCATTAAAGCTGCAGCTTCTCCATTTAAAGGGTCTGATGGATTGGGATACAGAAGAAGTTGAGGCAGAAATACCTCAAATACATTAACAAGATCTGGAAGAAAACATATATGTTCATATGACAATCAACAGAAGAAACAAAAATTGTAAAACCGAAAAAAAAAAACCACATTTTCTCGTAAGGCCTTGTGAAGATCATTACCAAACATAGGGCTCCAGGTCTGATTAATAACATCTAGACAAACCGAACCTGACCTGAAATTATCATTATATAACCACCAACGTGTTCAGGCACGTGCTTGTTTACTCCTCAAACCCTAATGCATATTAAAAATAATTCAACACAGCTCAAGGAATGTTAAGACTGGATGCTTACATTTCATCAACATTTGGGTGGTAGATCTTATTGACAAAGCCTATGGAAGGAGATTTATATGGATACGCATCTGGCAGCTCAACTCTAACTTTCCACACACCTCCATGATAAGGACCTGCCGAAAATCATCACATGGATGAAAAAAAGGGTAAGGAGACAAGAACCAAAAGTTATTCAAACAAGAGATACAATCATCAATTCTTTTTGGTTGTTATAGCCACACGTGTCATTTATGTTTTGACAAATAATAAAGGGTAAAAGTATTTACCAAGTGGTTGGTTAAGAACATCCAATAGCCTAAAGTGAGAAAAAGGGGCAAAAATGCCCATAACATTACCTAGGTTGGTGCAAAACAAATCGCATTGTGAAATTGGCTCTGACGTTGACCGTTTAGTGACATCTCAGCATGTAGTTGACTTATTTTTGCTAACATGGAAACCAAAAAGATGACATGGCTCATTCTCTCCCCCCATGCATGCTCATCTCTCTCTTCCCTTTCTCTCTCCTTTCATTTTCATCTTGCTCGCCCTCTTTAGAGACAATCCACGCCTTATTCGGTCACAATCTGCCTATTCAAGGACAATAAAAATGAGACCCGTCGAAGGTTTTGAGAATCGAAGCACTTCCTCAGTACATCAAAGACGAGTCTCAGATAAAATGGTTTGATCTTCTTGGGTTCAACGTCATTCACACCATTCACGCTTGGGACGATGAAGATGGAAACGGTATAGTTTTGATAGCACCAAATATTCTATGAGTGGAACACATGCTGGAGAAAATGAAGTTAGTTCACGCCATGGTAGAGAAAGTGAGGATCAATCTCAAAACAGGGATTGTTCCTCCATTCCTCACCAATTTCCAGTTCAATTCTGATGGTGTCAAACAGCCTGATGTGCCCATCTTCACCATGATCCGACCCGTTTTCTTGCATGACTTTGCCATCACCAAGAAATATGACATCTTCGCAGATATACAGATTGAGCGAGATGGAAGAGGAGATAATTATTGCAGCATCATCCTCTCACTCCTCCAAATCTGATTGACAGTGGTGGACAGCATTAGAGTAGATGATGTGTGTTGGGAGTGAACGAAGCTGCAACTGATAGCTAAGACAGAGACTGAGCAAACACGAAGCAGAGTAGATTGAGTGATTGAGAAGAGAGGCACCACAAAGTGAAGGAGGGAACAAGAAGCAGGGGGTGGATGGTGATGAATGCGGGCAGTGAAGGCAAGCTACAGTGGCTGATGTGAGTGGAGCAAGAAGATGCTGAGGGGTTGACAACGAAGATGCTGTGAGTGAGGCAGGGAGGTGCTGTGGGAGAATGGCAGCGGGCGAGCAAAGATGAAATGATCAATGCTGGCAAGCAGAATCAGCATTAAACGGACGTCTGGTCAATTTCACAGTTCGGTCACTTTTACACCAACTTAGGTAGCGTTATAGGTATTTTTATTCCTTTTTTTTTTTTTACTTCAGACTATTGGATGTTCGTGCCCGACAACTTTGTGGACATTTTTACCCTTTTACCCAACAATAAATCCCTTCTCCAAATGATGATACTACAACAACAAGAAGCTTTATCCTATTGAGGTTAGCCACATGGATCACATAGCATTAGTGGGTTGCATCAACAACTAACTCATAGCAACCTGATGCAATTAGGATCTTGCTCCTAGATTGGAAAGGAGAAAAACTGTCTCCTCTTTAAAAAAAATAAGCGAAATTCCTTGGCTTAATTTGATATTATGAACTAGGACAGAACAGAACAATGAGGAAAGGGTGAATCATGGTCATTTGATATGACTTGAAAGTCGAACCAAAATCTAGCTCATATGGGCCTCTTTGGCTAAAAGCTAGTGTCATTCATCTTAAGAAATCTACAATAAGTAAAAGGGAATTCAGAATCAGAAGCAAAATGTATCAATTTCTTTCTCAAATAAAATAAGGATACATTTTAACAAAAAAAAAAAAACAATGAGGCATATAGAATTGTCTTTGAAAAATATGTATTATCATCAATTTGATTTTGAAATGTTACATTTATGCTATTCAATCATTGAAAGTTGTCCATTGATGGATACTAACGAATAGCAAGCGAAAAACTTTTTGAGGACAGAATTGCGTAGGAATAAGATTCTAGGACCAAATAGTTATTTTTCAGGTCAAAATAATACATTTTCTTATAAAAGAAATCAATAGGATCCTAAGCGAAATGCCGCGAGAAATTAATACAATAAATACAATAGAACCAAAAAAGGGGATGCCAGTAAGGCTTCTCATCTTTTAGCTACCCAAATCTAAATCTAGAATCCCAAATCTATAAATGGTCAAATAGCTAGATTCAGACAAGGAAAAAAAAAAAGGAAAACATAATCTAAGAGCAAAATAAGAACAGAAGGAAGAGGGCACCAAAACCTATTGAACTTTAAACCGACAATTTTTGCAGAAATTCACCAAATATTTCATAAGAAACACCAAAACGAGAAACAAATCAAAGAGAAAGGAAGTTTACTATCACTGGGTCCGTGGAAATGCACATAAAATTCTTGCATCCCATCGTTAATCATCTCGACCTTGTAATCACTCATCATCCTAAGGGGGGAAAAAGAAAACCAAAATCAAGCACAGAACAATCAACCGGGGGCCGGGGGGGGGGGAGGAATTGAATGTAAATAGAAAAATTGATGATTCACAGCTTCATCAAGTCCATCTCTCGCCGCTTGCTGGGGGAAGACATCGTTCCCTGTGGACTTTTCTTTCCTCCTTTCTCCTCAGCAACTCAGATAGATAAAAAGAAGGGTTTTTTTTTTTTTTTTTGGGGGGGGGGGGGTTTTGTTGTTGGGGAGAGTACAAAACTGGTTGAGGAAGCAATTAGTAAAAGGAAAACTGAAGAGATGAAACGATAATGATAAGTAAATGATAGGAGGAAAATTTCCAACCACACCATGAGATAATATTTTATTATCAAAGAGTAACATGCCTTGCCTTGCCTTGCAATTTCATGTTTCAAGATTCTCCCAGTCTACTTTAGGCAAAATAATTAAAAAAAAAAATCCTCCCAAATATCTAAATGACAATGAGTTTTATAATTCTTCCCAACTCCTGGACCTTTCTAATAATAATATTTTCTACAAAATATTATAATGTTTCCAATTTAAAATTTAAAAAATGTATCACTAATTAAAAAAATTTTAAAGCAAAAACTTGTCAATTGATATCTCATTTTAATCACTGTTAAAAGAAAAATAATCATTACTTAAACTACAATCATCACTTATATTTACAACACTACATTTAGACTTTAATTATTAAATAATTGCAAAGGAAAAGTTATAATTGTAATTCTATTTTAGTTATCATAAAAAAAATAATCATTACTTAAATCAAAGTATTTACTAATATTTACAACACTTATACTTTATTGTTAGAAAAAAATTGTTATTAACTGAATCAAAATGATCACTGATATTCAAATTAGGGTCATTATAATTATTTCATAAAAGACATTAATATTAGAAAAGGTTTTAAAAAATTTAAAATGAATCCTCATATTTCTTGAGATCGAAATTTTTTTAGCCATTTTCCCTCATGTTGTTTTATTTTGGGTCAAAATTTTGATTTAGCTTAGGCAACTTTAGAGTTCAATCTGCAATAGCTCTAGCCTCTAACTCCCTATGCTCCTGTAAATACATTGTAAATTACACATTTTCATAACAAATGATTTGAGGACGCTTAAATAATCTTCAACTCTTAAAATTAATAATTTTTTAAAATTTTTAACTTTATATATGTAACTCCATATCACTATTAATTAGTTTATATTTCATTCTTAGAATATCAAAAAAATATTATTCAAAATTCAAAAAACCTAAATGGGTTGATGTGCAATATGAATCTTGAATTATAAGTTTAAGAGCAATTTGAATCCTCTACTCATAATTGATACATTTTAAATCCAGAATAATTAAAATCGGTGCATCCTTGCCCCCACTATTAATTTGAAACTAATGGCCGTTACTTTTTAAACATAGTGAGGACCAAATTCTTTATCTGTCTTATGTTTAAAAAATAATTGTTGTTAGTTTTTAATTAATGGTGGGGGTTAGGATGCACCGATGTTAATTGTTTAGAGTTTAAAAATATACTAATTACAATTATATGGTTCAAATGTCCAACTTTTCATTTGTTTCAAATTAATTGTTCGAAAACTGTCAACTTTTAATTTCTTTTATGCAAATAGAATCACATTTTTTAATAGACAATTATTACAAATTTTTTAAATTACCTCTTATAATTTCAACAACTTCATTATATCATTAGCTCTCAGCAAAACACTTCGTATCACTGGCTTCATCATATTGTTTCACCCTAACTTGGATATTTATGGAGATTCTAAGTGAATTGCTTTGAAGAATTTCTTGGAGAAACATGGACAGCTAGACTTTAGGTAATGTTTGGGAGTTTTTTTTTTTTTTAAGATAGAATGGAATAGGATAAGATAGCTAAAAGTTTTATGTCATTGTTTAAAAAAAAAACAAAAAAATTTAAAAGAGGATGGAATGGCTTGGGGTGGCCTTTCAAACCAACTCTTGCCATCCTAAACCCTTTTTTTTACTTTTAAAAAAATAGAATGATATGATATAAATAACATTTTTATAAAATTACACTTATCTTTCTTACTCCCTCTCACTCTTTCACCCCCTTACCTTAAAATTAAAAAATATATAACTATATCTTATTCAAATCTATTAATTTTATAATTATTCTTAAATAATAATTAAATAAAATCATTTATTCTTTTAATGAAATACCCAGACAATTAAATATTTCATTCCATCCTACTCCATCACATTCCATTCCGTTAATAATCGTTCCTTTTCATTTCATTATATATTCTCAAACATACCCTAACTTCTCATTGTGGAGGATTTGCTAGAGGGAGGAGAAGATCACAAGCACAAAAAAACTAGAATAGATGGGAGCTCATTGTGTAGCACAAACTGGTGGGAAGTTGAATCATCTCTGGGACCATAATAAGTTTCCCAATGAAGTTTCTACGACAGAAATGTTTATTGGTGCCGAAAAGAAGTTTTACAAGGAGAACAATGACGTAGTAGAAACGAGTAAAATGAACACTGGGTGACTTTTTGACCTGATCGAACTAGTTCTTTGAAGAAGGCTTGGACTTTGGTTATCAGAGCGATGTGTTAATCAAAGAGATTCATGCTATGCTAAAGATTTGGCTCCCTCATTCGTACTTGGTTTATTAGAGATGCATGTACGATATTTGGTTTCATGATGGTGCTAATTTTATATTTGTCTTTTGCTATCCTGTAACCTACTATGTAGCTTCAACTTTTCTCCTTTAGATATATAGCTTTTGTGCACGCGCGCGCGTGTGAGACCTTGAAATGCATGCTACTCTAATATTGTGTTGTGTTTTTGTTATTTTCTAATATTTTCAAACTGCCAAACTGATGAATGCTTGCTTCAAGTGTGAATTTACCATGACAAAAATCTCAACATGAAACAACCCTTGACTTTACCAAAAGGTGTTTAGGGTAAAAAAAACTCAACATCTCAACAAAATTTAACAATACAATATGGTGTGATCTCACAAAAATTAGTTTAAGATTTATGAGATGATTTTAAAAATTATTTATAAAATCCTAGCCAACAATACGCTTGCAGGATAAAGACACGATCCCAACACTTCATTCTCATTAGAGATGAGTTGTATATAAAAAGCTCCGATGAGTTATTACTTAAATGTTTAGCATTCACTAAGTATATAAAGATTTAAGATGGCTATATGAAGGTTAAAAATGTAGGAAACTACACGTGCCCAGTCTTAATAAGAAAGATCGGAGAGACCCTCAAAAGGCCCAACTTAATACAGTACACCTTCGACACTTTCAAAACAGGAAAACTCTTTGATTTTTTGCCAAAAAAGTTCATCTCACTACCCTCTAATCACAAGATTCTTTCAAGAAGGAGAATAAAGAAGGAAGGAGTATTAATTATAAATACCATCACTCTTGAAGTTACAATACTAAATTTTATTGGAGTTTTAAGAACGTCATTTAAGATTGAATTAATAAAGATATCTTGAAGTTCTCAAAAGAGAAGTTCATGGTCTGCCATTTGCCACAGTTAACATGATAAAAATAAATTCTAACACAAACACTATTGCTTCATATCATGCTCGCACAAAATGCTATCATTCAAATCCACTCATGTCCGTGGCAAATATAGAGCAGGTTAACCATAGAAGTTCATTCACGTCCCTTGCGCGTGATTAGCTTGTCCAACTTTATTATTTTATCTCACTTGAGCCTTATGCCAAAAGGTAAAGCCTAAAGAGATTTGCATAAGAAGTTAACGACGGCAAAATTACATGGATATAGATTTAAAAATGTATGGATATTTTATCTGACTCAATTTGTTTGTACCTATTTAACTTTTTTAAGTCAAACATTTTTTATGGTTTTATATGAACTAAAATGTAACAATTTTTAACGACAGAAATTGAAAAAAAAAATTAAAGAAAAGTTCAACAGGATACTGTTGCCGGTGATTATATGTGCAAAATAAAAGAATAATTATTATAGATATGAAAGAACAATATTGGTTGGCAAAAAAAGTAAAAGAAAGAACGATATTGTTTTGTAATGGCGTTATAGTGATTGCAACATAATTTGATGCAATGGTGGTTCATGCCAATAAATTTTAATTAAATAAATTGTGGGTGATTACGTCAAAAAATAAAATTATTTCCAAAACGACCATTCTTAATCAAGTTTATTCGTATGCTGTCCAAATTATAAATCACAAAAACCTTTTTCAAATCATTGCTAGTCATATGATTGTGCAGATGTATCGCAAGTCGCAACGGATGGCTTCTTGAAGCTCCATCTCCATTATATTGTTTCAGTTTCTTTTGGGTGATTCTAGGAGGATTCATTTTCCTAGAGGCTGTGTGGGTGAAGTTTGAGGCTGCTGCTTGATGCTTGTTCCCTTGCTGCTTTGTTTTTCTGGTTTCTCTGTTTTTTATCTTCTCTGGTTGCTTTGTTGTTTTGTAGGTTCTATTCTAGGTTTACTGCTTTTTGCAGGTTGCACTCTGGGTTTTATTTGTTTTCTTGATTAGTGTGTGTAATACTCTTTTTTTGGTGATTAAAAAAAGTTGGTTCTTTTTGTGCCAACAAAGACTTTTGTCTCTTAATTTCAGACGCCATTTGGTTGTATTGAACAAAAAAAAAAGGCAAAAATATTTTTCAATTTTTATGATATATTTTTAGTTTTTTATGTACAAACACGAAGAACATTTATGATTCCTTTTAGTTGTAAAACGATTAAATATCTTATTTATTCTTTTCAACCCATTATTGTTAAAAGTTGTATTCACTATTCAGTTATTTTTTAGAAGTTCTTTTATTCTTTAATTTTCTATTTTGAGATAAACCTTACCTTTTCCTTTGCTATTTTCTATTAAGGAACAATATAAAATAACAAAAATAATATTTTTAATATGGTGGGTAGATATCAAGTATTGAAATCCTCTAATTAAAAATAACGACTGTACAAAATTACTTTTAATAAAAAAATATTTGTAAGTAATAAATTTTTTTTAAAAGAAAGTGATCATTTCATCACTTGAATTTGATGATGTCCACTTTTAAAATCAATTATGAAAAACATTGCAGCACCATACAATTTAGAAGATTAATTGCGATAGTTAGCTGGACTAATATTTAATGCATATATCTGCCGTGGGAATTGCACAAAGGCCTCGAACCAGCCCTTTCATGTCCTGTTTGGTGTTCAATTTTTTCCCTCTCGAAGGAAGTAAAATTGGAAGATGAATTGAAAGAAGAATTAAAAAAAAAAGGAGTGAAACTAGGTCTAAAAGTATATTTAGCATACTTATAAAATTCTTCCATAATTTTTACTTGAAATGTGTATTTATAATATTCAGTAACTAAAATACTTCACAAGCCAAATCCATCATTTATAGGAAAATTGAACCTTGTGGATGACATAGAGATTAGAATTCTAGTTTTCCTTAATGACAAATTACTTAGAAAGGGGGGGGATGAATACAAATTTCCTAAATTATATAAATGACAATCTAATTCTTTAAAATATTATAATTTTACTGAAATTTTTAGGGACGTCTTTGTCAAAAAATTTTAAATTAAAAAGATCATTTTACTTTTATTAATATGTTGTAATTTCTTATTCAATTTTTATGATTTTATAAATAAAAGTTGTAATTTTTTAAACAAAAGTTTTGAATGGAGTTTATTATTTTGAGAATTTATTTTTCAATAATAAAAATTACACTTAAAAAATTATAATTTCTTGTTCAACTCTTGTGATTCACAGTGTAAAAATTATTATTCCTTAAGTAAAAGTTGTAATTTTTTAATAACAAAAATTACACTTAATAAATTATGATCTCTCATTCAACTCTTGCAAGTTACAGAACAAATGTTGTGATTTCTCAAAAATAAAAATTATGATTGAGATTTGTTATTTTCAATAAGGATAAAATAATTTTTTTACTTTAAAATTTATTGACACAAAAGTTTTTAAAAATTTTGTTAGAATTATGACATTTTAAAGGACCAACTTATCATTTATATAATTTAAAAGGATTTTATTATCATTTTTTTAAAAAAAATGAGAAAGTTGCAAAAAAAAATTTATTGTGAAAGTTTAGATGAGTTGAGTGGCTCATTAGGCCATGATATGTCTCCAAATTTAAAGATTAAAACTCCAATTTTTCTCTATCACAAATTACTTAAAAAACAAGAAAGTTGCAAGATTTTTTTACTGTGAAAGTTTAAATGAGTTGGGTCATGAGAGTTTATTAAGCCATCACATGTCTCGAGACTTAAAGAGTATTTACATACTTAGGTAGTTATAGATTACTTACCAATAATATTCTCATATTGAAAATGACATTTGATCCTACAACTTTATAAGTTATGAATTAAATATTCTTTATGATTAATAGGATCAACCTTTGTTAGTAGGAAGTTGTAAATTTAGTTTTACGTTGTTATTGCATCCTCCACCCTCTTCCTCATTGCCCTCGCTCATTGTCATTAGTTTTGTCATGATGGAAATGAAGGAAACTTGAAGCAAGTCAAAAGTTTTCTTTGAGGGAAAAGGTGCTTTGATTTGGGAAGAAGAAAAAAAACAGTATAAGCCAAGAAAATAATGAGAGGTGAAGAGAGAGAAGAAGACAAAGACAAGGATATGGTGGTGAAGGAAAGAGAGGTTGAGATGAGGATGTTAGAATGTCCCCACAGTAAGGGGAATGAATTCACACTTGGCATACAATGCCCACCATTTAGCTAGATGTATCATTTTCTTTTTTTCCCTTAGTTTCCTATTGGGTATATGCTTGCAATTATAGGCTTTTAGGATTTGTAAGGCTTTATACATCATCTTCACACTAAGTTCTTGCCAAAACTAAGCCTTGATATTATTAATTGGGCTTGGGGAACATCTTAAAAGGTAGGGAACACAATTAAACTTAGCAATTTCAAGTGGATGCATATAAATGAATGAGTCTATAGATCTTTTTTTTTTGGCTTATATATCTCTTTTCTAGCCTAATGTTATCCAACTTATAACTTCTCTTCATATAAAGCAAGTTCACTCACATTTGACATCCTAATAATTTTTCTCTCAAGCGCGAGTCAACTATGGACCACGCAGGCATGCTTCTTCTATTCATCCATACTTTAAAGATGCCAGTATCCTATAATAGTTCAACCTAATAACCCATTATCTAGCTAGAGACAACCTTCCCTTTTTTCTCCCAATTGGAACATGCTTGTAGTTATACTTGTGGGCTTCTAAGACTTTTTTTATCATTTTCATATCAAAACTAAGCTCTAATACCATTTTTCGGGTATAAGGAACATTCAAGAAGGAAATACTCTAATCCTTAAGTAATGTCTACCTATATTTGAGTTTTATGGATATTCAAGAATGACCAATTTATAAATAACATACATATGAGAATTACATAACAACAAATATCACCTTGACACTTCTTTCTAATGAAAAAAGAGACAAGCTATCTTTTAATCACTTTTATTTAATCATTATCTAATCACTTGAGCTTGTATGGTTGATGGATGAGGTTTAGATGTTCACTAGCTTGAGCTTATTCATCATTTCACTTGAGATCATATTATCACAAGAGTTATTATCAATAATTACAATACAAACATCATGTGTTTGTATACATCTAGTATGGACCATCAAAACAAACTACCCCATCTTCTTTTATGATATCACTTGTAGGTGTGATCTCATCTTCATCAGGAAGACTCATTTTCAATATATGCTCCTCTACAAATGAGATTATTTTGCAATTAGTATATTGGGTAAATGGACAAATTACCCCTTAAATTTTAAGCCCAGTAGAACCATAGATTCACTTGTTTATTATGCAAATTGTTCTTTCAACTTTTGAAAACGATGCATTCTAGCCTTATAGATAACAAAAGTTAATTTTGATAGTTAGTTAATTAGAAAATGATAGAAAAGGAAATAAAAAATTACAAAATTAACTTTTAATCCTTTTATATAATTTTAAGGTTCTTTGTTGTCATTTTTTGGTCAACTAATGGTTAAACTTAACTTTTGTTAGCAATAGGAGCTACATTATATTATTTTTAAAAGTTGAGGGAATAATTTTTACAATAGACAGTTTAAGGTCTACGATGTTATTAAACCTAAAGTTTAGAAAATAATTTACTCATTTACGCTAGTATATTTATAATTAATATTTCTTAAACTAACACTACTAGAAGTTATTAATTTGACATCAACATCCAATTTGGCTTGTGATTTTTTTTCCTTTTAGTTTGAAGATAGAGAAGAGCTCTGTTTAAAAGTCCCTTTTCTTTGAGTTACATCCTATTGCTTCTCCATAAGTTGAGCAAGGTCATTTGTAATGGTATAATATGATTTAATATAACTATACAAAGTTAATGATGATTTGTTCACATAAACCTCTTAAAAGTGGATTATTCATCAAATTCAACATCACAATTCGATTGCAAGTGCTCAAATTCATGGATACATTCTAGAACATTCACACTTTGATTGATTTGATGAATTATAACAATAACACAAGCCTTATTTACTTGATAGTAGCTAGGGTCAATTTCATATATTGCTTTGAATTATGAAATTTAAAAAATTTGCCTTGTCAATAATTTTTTTATGAAAAAAATCTTGTATCTTCTTCCATGTTCAGATGTTTACTTATTCCTTAATGCTCTCTATCTTCTCAAATTATTACATAGATGCATGGGCTTTTTATAATTTAAAATCTTCTTAAAATCAAATATTATTTTAACATGATGAGCGCTGATCATCAAGGCATTCATTGGGTTTCATCTGTATCCTCTAAATAATAAAAGGTCTACTTGAATATTTGAGTCAAGGAATTAATCATATTAAATTCATTAAGATAGATTAGGATACGGAAAAGAATTCTAAAATCCACAAGACTTGAAGTTCCTAAGCCACCAACACATGAATCTTCTTTTGAATCTTCATCTTCATGTTCCCCAAGTTATCTTTGCAATTCAGTTTTTCTAATTTTTAATTAAGTTTCAATTTTTCTCCTCATCTCTTCCATCTCAAGATCATGCTTATTTTCATCAATCCACCTTCCATAAACCATCATGATAATCAAGTGGCCTGATAACAAGTTGATATTAGAAAGAAAAATTGGAGATATCTTTATCAAAATTGAATCTTCAGAATCTAAAAACATTAAGAAAAAAATCATTGCATCATAAAAAAAAATCATATGTGGAGACATGATTCCAAGATGAGGTAAAACTTAAACACTTGAAATGCAAGTGACAAAGAAATAGATAAGGCATGATTGTTGGGGGAAAAAAAACTCATTACTCAAGGGATTATACCATATAGAGATAGAGTAAGAGAATAAGATTCATAATACTTCTATAAAGGAAAATCCCTATAGTAACTTTTCTAACTCTTCTGGTTTTGTATAATGAATTTTAAATACTACACTGGAACAACCCTTTAAGCATTGGCAAAGGTACAAAGTAAACCTTAAAGAAATTACAATACCAAACAAAAGAAACTACATTTTAATAAATACAAAAATCAACATGATGACAACAAGTTGAAATGAAATTAAGTCACGTCTAATAATAAGCAAGCATATAGAACTCAAATCATATATAAACTTTCTAGATTTTGGTTGTGGGCTTTGGTTTGGTTCATTATCAATTCCAAATTCATATTCAAATAAACCTATGCCACAGATACCCGCCATCACACACCTAGCTTAGGTGATGTATATGTGTGTGTGTGTAAAAGATATATATATATATATAAATATAAATATAAATATTAAGGCATTAATATAAAATACAAACATCTATATATAACAAGTCAAACTATTGAATTGATGTGATAAAGACATATTATTTTTTCATAACAACTGAGCGAATTGCTTTGGCTTTGATCGGTGGTTCTGACTCTAATCCATCATCATCACTGTCAATATTATTCGGAGAATATTGATTCTGTTGTCTTCGACGTCGCAAAACAAAAACATTAAAGTAGTAGCTGACCAAATCTTCTCGTTTTTTCTTCGGATATGATCTGAAAATATGATCCCAATGACATTTCTTGCGTGATTGGAGGTTAGCTCGCAACGCATTCTTGAATTTTTTCTCTTCTTCATACGTCCAATGATGGCTAACTTGCTCCCCAACCTTATGGAAATTCCATTGATAAAAAGCCACATCTAATTCCAATTTAATTTTGTCTCTATTTTCAACAATGTGAAATTTGAGACACTCCACTGATCCTGGTACTTGACAGTTACAAAAGTCATTTCTTCCCTTTCCACTAGGATCCCTTTGGATGACTTGTCTATGATGATTTACACTTTTTGATGGCCATATTTGGGTACCTAACCATTTAGGATCACTTTCAAAAATCACACCAGTCCATTCTGGTACTAAAGCCTGATGAGATGGCCCTAGAGGGACGGTTATTTTGCTACATTTATCAAAGGATAAAAGTGTAGTTTTCTCAACTTGATCTTTATGATCAATGAGCGGACTTTGAGTATTCTTTGAATCACTTAGAGTTCCTATGGAAATTTTTGATGAGACTGGTACAATAGATATGGACTTTTCACATGAAAGCCTCCTGTTTTCACACTTCAACCTTTCCTTAACATTACAAGTTGTCCTCGAGTGATCTTCATACATGCAAGGATGCATCTTTATACCCTGCAAAGAACCAAAGCTTTAGCTCTAATAATAAATATATGTGTAACATGATATATGTTTAATATACCTTGAGAACTAAGCTCCAATGATAATTCAACCTTTTATTAAAAAACAAATCATGTTTACTATCACAACCTATATATGTACATGATATTGGTAACAATATATCTGTTACATGTTAGATTAACAATTGTCTAACTTCATAATTTAACTAACAAATTTAGGGGCTGCGCCTACAAGGGTTCACAAATTGATTTAATCATTCATATGCTTGTGATTAACCATGACATTACTCAATTGTTATGAAAAATTCAGCAATTATAGTGGTCACCATCTTTTTTGGATGGAGAAAGAAATTTATTGAAAAAAGAACCATGATATTCTTTCATCCTATTCTTTGATTTTGATAAATCTTAAACAAACAAACAAAAAATCAAAATTATATGATTCTTTTAATCACTTTAATTCCATCTTAAAAAAACACACTGCCATAAGAATTCGATTGAGTAATGATCAAGAATAGGATGTTTCATAGATAAATGGGGAATGATAAGTGGGATGAAAACATAACATAGTATTGTATTAATAGATCCAACATCAGACTAGCTATGAGGGTTATATAACATTGATCAACTTTTGAGTCACATGGTAGCTAGGTAGATCTACCCAAACAACAAAATTTTACCTAAAAATTACGGCTTACAAGTATAAGCTATACAATTACGAGGCAATAACACATATTTTTGCTTAAACAATTTAATTGTTAGGCAACGACATAATATTTTCATGTAGTTTTTCATATTACCTGCCAATCATTATGTTCTTTGCTTGATTCAAAATTTCTTTTCACAAAGACAGCCTCTCGAAACAACAAAACTTGCTTCTTGACCTCCTCATTACTTTGAGAACTCCACTTTGATCTTTCAAGTATTGGACAAGCTATAAGATCACGTGGATTCTTTGCAATGCTAGTTACCCAACATAGCATTTCTTGCATAGACTTTCTTTTCCTCTTACGCCCATAGTTCTCCTTCTTAACAGTAGATGGATCTAATATCAAGACATCATCGTCATTGTCAAATCCCTTGCCTCTATTAGACAAATTAGGCACGTTGTTTACTCTATTATTATTAGATGAGTCCCCTATATCTAATGCATTTACTAGTTTCTTTGCAGTGATCTTCATTCTATCAAACTCCTTCAGTGTCTTTGTGTCATCAATGTTGAACGAGTTTCTTGACATATCCAACCCAACAAACGTACTATCCTGAACTTTACTCTCAACTCCATTAGTATCAAACAATTTACACCATTCTGACAAGAGCCTTTTTATTTTAGCTTGAAGTCCCGTCATTAGTTGCCGATCAAAGTTGATTGCACCATCCATCAAACTACAACCAAGTACCTTACCCTCAGAAACATTTATGAGCCATGTCTCTAAAGTGCCTAAATACTTAGAATAGATCAACTTTGCTGATGAACCAATGTTTAAACCTAACCCAAATTTTTCGGCCACTAAATTCCATAAATTTTTTTTGGAGACTACATCATACCCTCCTTTCCCTATCACAACTAAGAACAAGGTTTTCAAATTCACGGGTTGCCCATTACCAAGCATTGGTGGGATAGGTCGAAAAGAATTATGGGCATGCATCTCCTTCAAAAACTCGATAAGAAATTGATCAAATAAGCATTGGACCTTATCAGATATAACTTTATCGACTCTACAATCCTGGTCTCCCTCAAATTTGGCCCCATGAGCTTCTGAAAATAGTTCTAGATCAATAAAGATTCTATCATGTTCAAACCTTTTAGGGGTTTCAGTAATATCTATAACAAGCCCATCATTTGGTATCGACCACCTTGCCATATGTTTTTAGTTCAAGCCCTACAAGCAAAATATATTGTGTTCATAATCATTTATTCATGCTAGACAAAAGTAGATTCCCAATACAAAGGAAAACGAATTATAAGTCAATAAAACAGCAAAACATAGATGCTATGCAAGCATGCAAGACATGAAAGTATGAGTAATTATATATTAAGTTTAATTTGATAGAAATTTTACTTTGGTAGGAAATATGGGATGAAGCTTGGGCTTTAAAGAAAGCTGTGTTGTATCCCTCTTTAATAAGGACAATTTTCGTGTCCTATGATTTTAAGTTTTTTGAGGGGAGAGGGACGAACATTCAAGTTTTGAATGATAATTTAGGACAAAGAAGGATGAAAATTCTCTAATTCACATAGGAATAGTAATTGAGGAGAGAGGGATGAAAATTTAAACTTTAAATAAAGCAAAATCTCTTTATCAAAAGTATTGTAAGAAAAATAGATATACCATATAAATACTAAGACTTTAGACAAGGGGTTTTCAATAATCATTTGTGACCTTGTTGAACCTTCTCTTGGCTTTTTATATATCTTAATGAGGTATCGAATAAGCTACGTAGGGTATATGAAATTGGTTAGCCCCGTTCATTGTACATAAGTTGATGAATTGCAAGTTTCTTATGTATTTCATAAAATCCATCATCAACTAATCCATATTTAAATATTTGTTGAATCATAAATGTAGATAGCTCTCTCTGGTGAGATTTCTTCTTTTTCACAAGGTTCATCCCTCTTTAGGACAATTTCATGTCCTGTGATAAAGTTTTGAGGAGAGAGGGATGAAAATTCAAGTTTTGAATAATAATTGAGAGGGAGGGGTGAAATATAATTCACATACATACAAATACTAATTGAGGAGAGAGGGTTGAAAATTCAAATTTTAAAAGAAGGCAGAACCTCATCATCAAAAATATTATTGAAACTAAAGCAAAGTAGACATACCGTATAGACAGTAAGAATATAGGCAAGGGGGTTTCAATAATCCTTTGTGACCTTATTGAACCTTCTCTTGGTTTTTTATATATCCTAATGGGGCATCTAATAATTTATGTATGGTATATGAAATTCGGTTAGCCTTGTTCATTGTACGGAGATTGATGAATGGCAAGTTTATTATGTATTTTATAAAGTATATCATCAATTAATTCATATCTCAATATTCATTGAATTGTAAATTGAGATAGCTCTCTCCATTGCAATTTCTTCTTTTCACAAGGTCTATATATCCCCCTTTAGGACAATTTTCATGTCTTGCAATTTCAATTTGAGGAGAAAGGGATGAAAATTAATTCATATCTCAATATTCATTGAATCGTAAATCGAGATAGCTCTCTCCATTGCGATTTATTCTTTTCACAAGTTTTGAATAATAATTGAATAATAATTTCAATTAATTCATATCTCAATATTCATTGAATCGTAAATCAAGATAGCTCTCTCCATTGCAATTTATTCTTTTCACAAGGTTTATATATATATATATATATATCCCTTTTTAGGGCAATTTTCATGTCTTGCAATTTCAATTTGGGGAGAGAGGGATGAAAATTCAAGTTTTGAATAATAATTGAGGAGAGAGAGGGATAAAAGTTCTCTCTAATTCACATACAAATACTAATTGAAGAGAGAGGGATTTAAATTCAAATTTTGAATAGAGATAGAACCTTTTCGTCAAAAGTATTAAAAGCAAAGTAGACATACCGTATAGACTGTAAGAATTTAGGCAAGGGGGTTTCAATAATCCTTGGTGACTTTGTTGAACCTTCTCTTGAGTTTTTAATATATCCTAACAAGGCTTCCAACGAGTTATGTATGGTATATGAAATTAGGTTAGCCTCGTTCATTATACTACGAAGATCGATGAATGGCAAGTTTATTATGTATTTCATGAATTTTATCATGAACTAATCCATATTTGAACATTTGTTGAATCATAAAGGGGATAGCTTTCTCCGGTGCAATTTCTTCTTTTCACAAGGCTCAAAATTGATATCTTACATGCGGGGTATCAAATCTTCCTCACTCCATCCAAATCTCAATATATGAAGTTCATATTTTATAATATGATTATTGATATTGATATTAAATATTAAAAAATATAACTAAATCATGGTATAAAATTATTTTTTTTGTGTGATAGTTATTGACACTTTGGTCCCTTGAAATAATGATCCTTTTGATTTTGACAACTATATATGACATGATGTATTTAACAACTTTTTTCAGGTAGCTAAAATAATTGTAGTCCCATACAAGATGCCTAAATGTCATCCCTTTTTTATTTTGTGATTTCTCTTATCTTTATCATGATACCAAACATCTTTGAAGGTGAGAAATTTGAAAGGTTTATAGATTGATTAGGGATATCAATTAGAAAATAAATAGTATACAAAGATTGGATAAATACAAAGAGAAATTCTTAGTTGTGATCTGTCTAATTAGAATGCTTTAAGTCATCTAAATAAAATCTTATGTTACATTATTTTAATTAATTTTATTTTTATGATAGAATACATATTCTTCTATTATTAATGTCAGAATTAATTTATATTTAGTATGATCAAAATGTCATGTTCTAATTATATAGGTCACAAATGATATGACATACTCAATTTATCTAAGAATTTCTCAAGTAGAAAATAACATTTTGTATATTTTTCAAATTGGATATGTAAATTAGATATTTTGCAAATCCATATTAAAGCAGAAATAGGTATAAAACAAATTTTTCCATCTTATTTGGCTAATACAAATGAAATTCAATGGTATTTAGATTAATTAATGAATTCTATTTAATGAATTCTCTTTCTAAGGGAAATAGATATATTTGGGATTGCTTTGAATGTCTATTTTTTTTCTTAATTTGAATTTGTTAATTGGTCTAAGTTCATTCACTTAACAAGTGTCTTGTGTGGCTAATGTAGAACAAGGGAGGGGAGGCGGAGAAGAGAATAGGGAGAGAGAGAAAGATAGCAAAGATAATATAAAACGAAGAAAGAAACTCAGAGGAGAGACAATACAATAGAAATTTTTCTTCAATAATAGACATGTACAAAGCAAATGTGTTAAAACTTTTTTTATAAGTTTTAACTTAATCCAAGAAATAAATGCAAGAATATTCTAAAAATTTTAAAATTAAATAAAAATATAACAATAGATGCTAAAAGATAATAATAATGACAATTAAAACAAAATATTCTAGATTAATATGACAATTAAAATAAAATAACTTCAATATTCAAATCTTCTCAAAATCTTCAATTATTATTTTTCCTTTTCTTTCTATTATTTTTTCCTTGCTTGAAGAACTCTCCTCTAGAATGTAAAATTGTCGATATGCTTAGGAAGTACAATGAAATGATCAAGATATTTCAAGTTGTATTTTTGTTTGAAAACCCTTTCTAGCAAATCAGATACCAATAAATGGTATTAGTTGAACAACAAACAATCTTAACATTTAGAATCATAATATGCAAGTATGGAAATCCTTTCCAATAGGATAATAATGAAGGGGATGATGTGATTCAAGAATAATTTGTTCTTTCACAACTATAATAACTTCAACACTAGAAGCATAGAAAATGAACAAGGTAGAATAGGAGTGAGATGATAGTGAATGCTATCATTATTAGTCTCAAAATTCACAACTACCATAGATATAATTTGCTTCCATAATTGCTCTTCTTCTCGAGTAATAGGTACCTCTTGAGTCAACAATGCTTATATTTTGAGTAGAAGTAAAAACTCCAACATGATTTAATCTAGTTTCTTCGTCACAAGCCTCAATCTCATAATCATCAATGCTATTGCTCTCTAATACCATTAATATTGGTAAAAGGTCTTTGTTGAGCATGTTATCTTCTTCAAAATTCAAAATATTAGGTTCTTTATAAGATTTTAAGATATTATCTATAGGATTGGAAGTTTTTCCTTTTGATATGACTTCTCTTTTTCAACTTAATAGTAATGCCTTTCTTTTAATGTTGATCGAAGGGAGTTTTAGAGTTCAACAATTTTATCTCTCACATTTTCAATACGTGAACATATGAAATTCAAGTCAAATTGATCGATCAAATCATGTTTATAATCATATTGACGATGATAATTATACTGACGACAATCAATATAATCATATGGACGATTAAATAAGCCCATAACATCACACTTGAAGGTGGTTTTTTTTTCCTGAAAGGTGTAAGCTCTAGGCGATAAAAGTGAGATGGAAAGGGAGGGCCTAATATCTTATTTGAAAAGAAGGTTTTCAAGTTGCCCTCACATAAAAGATAAAAGCCCTATTTAACATATTTAACCTTTTGGGAACTCAAAAGTTTCTCAAGGATCACACACTCTAAATAAGTAACAACCTAATCAGTAATCTTTAAGGACTTCAAAACCTCTTAGGGAAACTGATAGAAATTTTGACTAGCTTAGGATAAATGTTTGACCTAGTTATAGGGCCAAACCATTTGTATGGTGAAAATATCTTACCAAGTAACTTAAGGAACCTTATATTATAAAATCTACCCGTCAAATGTGTTTTTGTATGATGATTATTGGCACTAGGAAGGTATTTGAGAGTGAGTTTGGTATTTGAAGTAAAGTGGGAACTTGACTCTGTTACTTATTAATATAGAATGGGAAAGGGGAAAGGGAGAAGAGAGAGATACAAAGATAATAAAGAGAAATGTTCAATAATAGACGTGTACAAAGTAAATGCGTTAAGGTACTATTTATAAGCATTAACCTAATCCTAAAAATAAATGCGAGAATATTCTAGAAATCTTAAATATTAAATAAATAGATAACAATAAATATTGAAAAATAACAATAATGACAATTAGAAAAATTCCTAATTAATATGACAATTAAAATAATTTTTTTTAAACTTCAAATCTTAAATCTTCAATTATGTTTTTTCTTTCCATCAATGGCACGATGTTTTAGTGGCTTGTTAATAATCATATGATTCAATCGAATAAATGTTAAATATTTTGTCATATAGTACTTAAAAAGTACTATAGTTTAAATTTTTGGAGGGGATAGCATATGTGAGGAGTGTTCTGATCATAGTAATTGTTTTGAATTTTAGAAAGAAACGTATCTTGATGATTTTTAAGTATTGATAAAATTTATTAGTTATAATTGAGATACTCATTTAGTGAGTAGATTGACTACTCACTAAATTCAAATTTTTTTCAACCTCTAAAGGAAAAAAGAATGATCCTTCTAGATATAAAAAAAATTATAAATGACCTTTTGCAATCCTTATATTAAATTATAGACATAAAAAATCCTAACCAAAACACAAGAGACATTGATTTAAAAACTAAATCAACTATTAAATTGGACAAAGCACTAGTTTAAAAGTGTTAGCTGTCTATGGTTGGGTTGGTCATTATTAATTTAATACATTAGATAATGATTGAGAAGTGAAATTTTATAAGATATTATATATTAATCATGATTCAAGCTTTATCCTAATGTATAAGCAAGGGTCTTAGGGAAGATAAGTAACTTAAGGCTCATCTTAAGAAGCAAAAATATCAATGCATCATACACCTTTAACATATTTGTTCTTACATTAGAATGAAGTTTAGAAGATACTCCCTCCAAACCAAAATATAAAGCATTGATAACTAATTCATTATTCTTAAAAAATATTAGTTGAAACTTTAATTTCTCAAAAAAAAGTCATCTTTTTGATTAGTTGAAACCTTAATTTCTTAAAAAAATCATCTATTCAATTTTGCCCTCATTAAAAATGCTATATAAGTAATTTGATAATAATAATTAAAATTTTAATGTATCATTTTTTTTTTCAAAAATTAAAGAGTAATAAATAAAGTAGAAGCATAGTTAGAAAAACAATTACAAAAATTACCAAATGCCTTATATTTTTGACTAAGTAAGGTTTCTAGAAAATATTCTATATTGTGGTTTGGAGGGAGTAAGAGGGTAAAAAAAACCCCAAGGTCCAACTGAAAGTTGCAAAGCTATATTAATTCCTTCTTGTGCATTGAAGTCATCAATGTGAGTCTTTACTTCTAAAGCCAGCAAACGCCCAACAGCCTGCATTGCTTTTCTCTTCGTTTTTTCTAAAGCAGACCAAGAGCCGGCTGTTGATCCAATTGGTTGTACTAGCCAATCTGGTGTGATTTTTTAGTCACTGATTGCAACACAGATAGAAGAAATAAACTCCCTCAAAAGTAGAAACAAGTATTATAAGCTGTGCTAGAGTTACGAAAAAATCATTGTTCTGGTTCTGTTTAGGCTACACATATCTAACAATCTAGAAACAAATATTGTAAACTGAGATAGATTTACTAAAAATTCTTGCATTCTAATCATTTTCCTTTCCCTCGGCCTTGCCTATCTGGATTTGATATAGTAATATTTCTGTCACGAGATTGCAACAATTTTAGCATTGACATAGTAATATTGAAGAACCTATGCAAAGTAAAGCCAAAAGGAAATGATAAGATGAACGCCTAAAAGTATAAAATTGAAAGAAAATTTCTAGCGGCTATACAAACGCATGCACATCTTTTTCACAAAAGCTATTGTCATGTACAGATATGAATTTGTCATATAAGTTTATGAGGAAGCAAGTTCAAATTCTTGTCCAGTCCATCTACGCATTCTTTCTGTTGCTTGTTCCACCTGAAAAGGTTTAAAGTTTAGACACTCTGAAATTGACACAATTATTTATATCCATTTTATGCATCTATATTATATGAATAACAGGAAATACTACTCCTCTGATCCTATTTATAAGTCACTTCTAATATGTTTCACTAATATCAAAGAAAACTTTAAAACTCATTAACTTTATCTTAAAATTTAATAAGTTCTCAATTTTGCTCCTATTAAATATACACACTTTAATAGTATATTTTCTCTCTCCAACATTCAACAGAGAATAAAAAGAAATTTTTGATAAAAATTTAATTACGTGACTTATAAATGGAATCAAAAAAATTTTTCTCTCCCTACCTTACAAATAGGACCAAAGGGAGTAATACACACTCATGCACACATTGACTCTCACCTCTTCATTCCAGTTAGTTTTATATATAATGTACAACAAGATTAGTGTCTGCAACAATGTCCCACAGATCATGCCTATCCAAATGCCCTACAATCAAAGAGCACTGTCCGTAATCAGAAAAGAAAATAATTTTTTATTCAAAAATAAAAATGTCTGATTGCACTTGGGTTTTCAGGCTGGCCTGCGTTGATTTACCTCAACTCCTAAACCCAATTTGTAACCAAGAAGAAAGCCAAGAGGGAGTCCAATGATGTAATAACAGAATAAATTTATGTAAGCTACCAAAGCCTGCCAACCTCCTCCTACAGCAACACCTGCAGCAACAAATCTCTTCAATTTTAAGTCATGCACGCATAATTCTCAAACATACATGTCACCTTTATAGCGGCGGATACGTTTCAATGAAAAAGTTCTGTGGAACCAGAACAAAACTATATTCAACATGAAGAATGTTACAATCTTTAGACAACAGAAATACGGTTTTTTTTTTTTTTTAGTATATAGTTGGAATGCTCTGACCTGATATAACTGGTTGAACACTATTTAGAACCATGGTTGCACCAAGAAGGGAAGCTAGATGAGAAACTGCTTTTTTCATCTCTGCACTGTCGGTGAAGATGACAGCAAAATCATCTTTTGTGATCAAAATAATGGCTCCACAGAGGATCCCTATGAAGAGGCACTCGATGACCGTGACAATGACAGAGAACTTTGCAGCTCTTGGGTGTCCAGATCCAAGCTCATTAGAAACCCTCACACTGTCATTAAAACAGAAAAAAAAAAAAAGACTAGTCTCAGAATGGGAGAATAAGCAGGAAATTAAAAGGATGAACAGAAATGTTTAGTTGAGTTGACCTTATAGCTGCATTAATCCCTATGAACAGCATGCCTTCCCATCCATTCACATTCATGCTGAAAGAGGACAAACATAAGTTAACAATAAATGAAGGGTTTGCGTTTACAAGCAATGCGGAGGTATTCAATAATAATAATATACCACACATTTAGAAAAGAGTGATATAATTAAAAGAGTGTGTGGAAAAGCTTAAGTGAAAATGAGGAGCGGTGAAAGTATCATCTTATTACCATATAGAAAGCGAACCAACAGCAATAACTGGATTATCGAGGTGACCAGTGAGAACAATAATGGTCATGAAGTACCAAATCTCCAAACAAAGCATAATAGCAGAGGCAATGGACAGCTTCACAAAGGCCCAAAGATCCTTAAAGGCGAGCCACGACAAGCCTCTCCATCCTTCACTGCACCAACCAACCACATAAGCCACTTGAGCCAAAGCAATCCCCCAGGCAGATATATCATAGGCTGCAGCAGCACCTGATGTGCCCCAACCAAACACTTTGATAAACAGATAGAGGATCCCAACATGAACAAAAACCGCGCCGAAACCGATCCAAGCAAGAACTCCCACTTTACTCTGTGCTTGCAGGAACTTCTGGGTAGGGAAGTTGATGGCAAGAGAGAACATTTGAGGGATTGTTTGGACAGTGAATGTTCCAGCCAGGGACGCGATGTCATGTTCTTGGCCTAGCAGGACCAGGATTGGCCTCGCAAATATGTACAGAGGAAGGAGAAAGAAGCATGCTGCTCCTAGGATTATCCACGAACGTTGCATGTACACTCCTAGCATTTCCACTTGCCCTGCGCCAAATGCTTGCCCACATAACGTCTCAAGTGCACTTCCCATGCCAAGCTGCCATGTTCAAATTGATGACAAGATTAATAATATATAACGAAGTTTAACAATTACTTTAACTGATTATATATGCATAGAGTCTAAATTCATTCTTTAACTGTCTGCATAACGATGGTACAGAATACAGAAATTGTAGAGAGAGAGATAAAATTGCAGTTCTACCAAAAACAAATTGATTGAAGCTAACCAAGAAGCCAAAAGAGAAGTTTGAAACGACGGAAAGAGCAATGGCAACAGCAGATAATTCTATATTCCCAATGTGTCCGACGAAGATGTTGGTGAAAGAATTGATCCCATAATTGCATAGGATGTTAAAAGCAATCGGGCCGGCAATAGCCCAAATCTTTGCAGTTTCCACAGAGCACACGTACTTCACGTCTTGGAAGCTGTTTATTGAAGGATAATCTCCAGCATTAGTCTGAATGGGACCCGCCGGAGCATGGTGGAGCTCCGCCATGTCCAAGGCGGCACTGCCATTGGTCAAGGGCGGTTCACTCTCTTCACCAGAGGATGAACTCATTCTCTCCTCTGCCATGTCGAGAGACTCATTCTCTGTATTGATCCCCTATATCTGCGGATGGATATTATACGTTCCTTTCTTCAAATGCTGGATTGAAAAAAAAAAAAAAAAAACTGGTGAGGAAACCGAAGATTCAATTCTTGCAGAAAAGAAAACAGCTTGAAATGCGGAAGAAAAGGGTCTTTCTTTCGTAATGCTGTTATCCTTTTTGTTGTTAGATAGCAATGAGCATGTTTTGCTTCTCGTTCGTAAGAAAATAGATGACGGACTTTGACTTGCCATAATTAGGTTGGCCCTAGAATGAGAACGTTGAGGCCAAGAAAGACAGGTGACCAAGTCTCCTCCTCTTACTACCTGAGAAAGTAGTTAGTTATTTGTCTGCACAATTACCGTTATTACGGCATTCTCTTTTAATGTTTCCTATAAAAATGTTGGCTAATTTTTACACTTTAACCCAATGTCAAGAAAATCGAGACCTCCATTGACTCAGTTGAGATGGTTGGATTATGCTGGAACCAATCATAAATAAATTATTATATGTTTAATGATAAAAATAAATATTTAAATTTAAAAAAATACTAGTATGAGAAATTCTTGCATAGATAAGGTATTTCATCCCATCTATATTTTATTCAATAAAAATATATCATGTTGAATAATTGTAAATATAAATTAGTTTTATCACCCATAATAGTAGAAAGGAAAGACAAAAAATTAAAGAGACACTATTTTTCAAAAATAAAATCATTTAAAATAATGATATGTAAAATTTTAATTAACTGAATGGGTATAATTTTATTGGATAGAATATGAATGATATAATACATTTGTCTATACAAGAATTTCCCATGCTAGTGTAGTGAGAAAAAAATTAATATTCACCAAGACTCCATGGTTTTCATCCAAAATGTATGTATTCATATAATACTCTCTCTATTCCCATATATAAGATATTTTTAACTTAATAATAAAAATTAATAAAAGTTAATTATCTAATTAAAGGCACATCAACATTTTAATTTTCCTCCTAATTATTATAAATAAAAAAAAGAATTTCTTTTTTCAAAGTAAATTAATAAAAATACTTATTTTTTTCCTATTTAATAAGAATATAATAGTCCATTCAATTTAAAATATATTAATAACCTCTTATATTTAGAGACCAAAAATTTTTTTTAGAAAACTTCTCAAATGTAGGGAGAGAGAAAGCAATTTATAATTTTAGGATACACACATAAATATTTTCTGCCTATTTAATTTGTTCATCTTTCTTCCTCTCTCAATGCTCAGAAACGGTATAAATAAGACACATGAATTAATAATTTGTTTTAAAAAGATTATAGCCAGTTTTCCAATGATTCTTTAGACCTTTGATTCTCTCGCATCTGTAGGCCGTACAAGTGGGTGAGTGACTAGTTCATACTTCATAGTCGAACGAATCTGGTTTTGGTGCTCAACAAACGAATCTGGTTTTACTGCTCAGCAGACTAGTTCATACTTTTTAGTCGAACGAATCTAGTTTCGGTACTCAGCAAACAAATCAAGTTTCAGTACTCAACAGCCGAGGTGCACATCACTCAGGGAAGATCTGAGCCGTCCAGATTTTTAGTTCAGATTTTTTCAATTTTAATTTCAATTTTATATTTTATAAAAATAAAATTTATTCTTTTTTTATAAATATATTCTGTCAACTAGAAAATTGAAACTCAAAGAAAGTTTTAGTCTTATAAAAATTTGAACCCTCAAGACTGGACAGACTTCTGTCATTACTATATGACATTCATTTGATTTTGATAGTCCTATCTTCTTAGGTAGCAAGAGTACAGAATTTGCTTGAGCTTCACAATCTGATTCTTCAAGATCTTCACATGCAGTCAGTGTTTCAAAACTACTACCACTAGCTATTTTTCTTCCAGATTCAGAATCTGTGGATGTTGGACCAAAGACCACATCACATGGCCAGGGTGCAGGAGGAGGCTATCAGATGTGGCCGTTTCCAAGTTCAAACCTGCTAGCAATCCAGCAGAGAGTGAAACAGTCGTACCATTATTTGAGGTCAATGATTCACGCTCTTCCAAAACTGGACACTGCAGAGGAGTTTTACAAATTCGAAAGATAAGGTAATGACAATTTCATATTAAATGTCGAATAGATTGACATTATATTTCTCAAAGCACTTGTGCTGAAGAAAAGAAACATTAAAAACAAATTACCATTAAGTTCTCATCTTATTTAATAGCTGACACCCCCAAAATCATTCACGCATCTCTTTTTTTTTTTTTTTTTGGAGGGGGATGATGCTGCAGATTGTCTTTTTTACTTAATGAAATTAAAACAGAACATAAAGGAGAAAGCTAATTTTGATATTCGATAATTCACGTAAAACATGCATAAAGGAGAATTTTCTGTCAGATGATATCAACCAGATATGTAAAATCACTAGCTCATCACCTTCCCATTGAAACAAGTCCTGCAGTTCTGAGGAAACAAAGTAAATCCAACTCACTCAACTTTATTTCACAAATCTTATCCCTTCAAGGAGTTGGCATTAGAACATTGTGATATTTAAATTAAAGCAACAACTCTGCCGGTTTTTTTTTTTTTTTTTGGGGCAATATTTGCTCATGGATTTTCATCTTTTTTCTCTATAATTCTGTGCTCAAAGTCCTTATTCTCTAACTAATGGAGGAAATATAAGGAAGCTCAAAACATATAGTTTTTCTCTTTGGTCCAACACAAAATAAATAGAAGATTACTTACATAATACACTGGTGTTCCATGCAGATGAGGTCTTCTGGCAGAACAGCAGCAACCTCCCTTTTCCAACAGTGCAGTAGTTTCCGTTATTTAACCAAAAGTACCAATGACAATCTCATTCCTTCCTGTTATTTTGCATCAAGATAGGATCATGTCCGACCAGAGTTTGTGTCTATTTCGCTACAAGCCTGAATATTGTCTTCGGATCAATTTACATATAATAATTAATAACAAAGAAAATTTGTTTCATGAAGCAATGATATATGTCAACTTGACAATATGAAAAAACGGTGTCTTATCATTACGTAGGTAGGTGAATCCAAACCCTTAATTATGGAAAATTTTCAGAGAACATCAAATGCATTTCAAAGTTCAAACATGACATTAAACATCTATGGCAATGCAATCTTTGATAGGAAAATGAAAAGGCAAAGACTGTTAATCTGTCCCTTGCTTTAATTGAATTCAGAAACCAGTTTTGTAATCTTCTTCTATACCATAACTGTTCCCCTCTCTGCAAAGGGAAATCACCCCATCATTGTTATCTTCTGATAGCAAACAGTATCTGACCGCATGAGCCTTCTTGCATCATCAGCAATAGGTTTATTTCGTCGCATAGCAACATTCCAAGTTGTTGTATCCAACAACCGGAGTGACAATATGAAATTTCTGTTCACCGATTTGAAATAAACCTCAATTCAGTCATTATACCGCACCTTGGAAGAAATACCTCATACCATTCCAGGTTTTTATTTATTTATTTATTTTGGGGGCGGGGGTGTGGGGCAACCATTTTGTTTTACAGTAGCACATAAGCCCACCGAAAAATTCATGCTAATCATTCTCACAAGTGCATAAGCAGTTGCAGCATACCCAAGGGCCAAGGCCATAACCCCAAATTGTATGTCTACCAAAACTCAAAATCATCCATATCACAGTAAATTATAACTACAATTAGTATACAAATTCCAACAAAAATTCCACTTTTAAAAAAACAATAAACAGTCTTCAGAATGATTAGTATCAACTCGTAAAAAGTAGAGAAGCAGAGTGTTAACTAATGTAAAACCTTAATAAAAGAATGATGAATTGATGATTAAACGACATTATGAACAATACAACTTCAACTAGGAGAAAAAACCATGAATCCCAAAAATACTGAGATAAGGAGGACCTATGTTAACCTCCTTAGAGGTGGGATGCAACCCCCTTACTCAACTTAACAATGCAATGCCCTATATATAGACTTTTAGGGCCACTAAAAAACCTAGTGATTAACTCTAATCACCTATCACTAAAAAACCTAGTGATTAACTCTAATCACCTATAACATTCCTTAATAATATTCCAGCATCCCCCCTCAAGTTGACACTACTTGAACTTTTCAAAGTGTCAACTTGCAACCACACCATAAAGGAGGGAACAACAATTATTGGAATATTAACAACTTTGATCAATTAGATGACTTACAAATTTGGTCAACTAAACCAACATTTTCAACTGACAAATCATCATGAAAATCTCTTCAAAATACTCATATCCATGTTAAACCAAAGCCTTTCATTCTCTCCCTCAATGACCGCTGGACCAGCTCCAAAATTTAGACCTTGCATTTAGACAACCAAAATCATTTGAACCGTGAATGCACTTTCTGGATTTATCACAGCACCAGGGGACATTTGAACTTGAATGCACCCATATCTTGTTTATTATTCTTCTTGAAATCAATGCCACTTCACACACGGCACTTAACAATACTTAACAATGTTGTGGCAGTCACATAACTCAATCCCACATGAGGCCAAAATAAGAACCACCGTCAAATCTTCTCCAATGAATACAATTCCTCCACGGTCTTCTTTGTGAGGGACCCACGTGCTAGTACACATTATTTTCCCTCAATTGGTTAATGTTCTGCATGTATTAAGGAGGGGTACAAGTTCTGGTGGTCACTTTCTTAACAGCAAACAACCCCAGGAAGCACCTCAAAACAGAAAGTCACAGCTTGAAAGTCCCAGAAGACACTGAAGTTCCACCTTTCAAACCAGGAACAAGCTCATCAAAGGTGATTGTGGCGAAGAGTTTAGAATCAAGATCAACCTCAACACCTACTTTGCCAAACCTAACCAAGAACTCAACTAGGTTCTCTATCCTACTTTCATGATGTCCGACAGTCAGTCATTCTTTTATATCAATCAATTCCCCAAAACAACTTCAGCTGAGTAACACTTATAAATCGACAATCATTCATAGGAGGTTAAATTCTTGAACAAAATAAATTGAATAACCCAAGTCAATTTGCAAGAACCAAGATGAGAAGCAAGATTAAATATACAGGACATACATATAAAAAACAAGGTTTCGAAAGGCCCAATTCTACAAATCATAGAGAATCAAAATCTCCGTTGAACAAAAAGCAAGGAGAAAACAATCCGCAAGATATTTTGGTCTATGTTGAAAAGATACCAAGTACTTCAAGCCTCTCTCCTTCGTGATTATAGCCCTTCAAATCGAGCAAACACCACTGCTCAAATGTCAGGGTCAAACACAGTTTCCTCATCATCATCCGTAACTGTCATATTCTCGGCTATTTACTAGTCTAAAATCATTGTGATCAAGTGGTCGCCCATCTCTTCCCCATTGAACTCATCAAGGGGAGCAGCGGCTATGGCACATCAACACAGTTGAGGAGATAGTCATGTGGAGATGGTTGATCGACAAGAATTAACAACGAATGAAAATGGAAGACAATGTACGTTTATGATGACGAGACCGCTGGTTATGGAGATCAAATCACCAGCAACAGGCAAGCTAATCAGCGAGGACAAAGACACATTGAGAGGACTCAGATCTTGATCTTCTTTGTTTTGGATCACCATCATTGCTTGTCTTTGTCGCTATTTGATTCTTTGCTCTGCACCCATTTGCTTCAATTTTTCGTACTTCACCATCGAGTTCTTGCGGCTGCTGGTGGTTGCGTCCTTGGCATTGTTCGACATCAGAACCTGGTGTTTCTTTCACAAGTAAAGATAGTACAATAGCTTGGGTCAAATGCGGTGATCAAGCGAACACAGCCAAGGGACCTTCAAGAATCATGACTCGGTGAACAAAAGAAAATGCACCGTCTCAATTCTTGCACAGGAACGTGTGACAGTTGTTAGTGGATTAAGCAAGAAACGCGGCGTGCTGGAATGGTTTCTGTTAAACTAAATTCTTGACTTTTCGTGGATCAGCTTCTTGATTATGCGACCTGCTTCCTTCAATTCAGTCACAGCCTTGAAATGCAAAGCACAACTACTCTGCCCCATTGGTTGAACCAAGCTCATGATATCATGTTAACTAATGTAAAACCTGAATAAAAGAATGATGAATATGAAGAATCGATGATTAAACAACATGATGAACAATACAACTTCAACTTGGAGAAAAAACCATGAATCCCAAAAATAATTTGAGATAAGGAGGACCGATGTTAACCTCCTTAAAGTTGGGATGCAACCCCCTTGCTCAACTTAACAATGTAATGCCTTTATATAGACTTTTAGGGCCACTAACAGGTGATTAACTCTAATCACTTATAACATTCCTTAATAATATTCCAACACACAGAAACAAACCACAAAAATCGGATTTACTACCAAAAACAGCAGTAAAATATAGCTAGCACTTGGAGTCAGAAAACTCAAGCAACCCAAAAAAAAAAAAAATTGAATGGCCCAAGAAATAAAGCAAGAAAAGGGTCAGACAGAGAAACCAGTCGACCCAATTCAGCTCCGAAATTCACAGCTAAACCCTACTGAAAAGCTGCGCGCCCGTGGATACTATACAAACCAATAGTTTGAGAAATTTTTTTTTTTTTTGGGGGGGGGGGAGTCCAATTACCACTCGATAAAATTGTGAAAGCCAAGAAATGGAGAGGGAAACCCATGAAAGAAAAGCTCACCGGTGAAGGGAAGAGATAGAGGGAGAGAGGTAGGCATTGTTGGGGAAGTTCAATTTTCAAGAAAAGCGATTGAGGGATTGTGAAAGCTCGCTCGCTATGTGTTTAACTTCCACTTTCTTGTCTGCGGTATTGCATATAGTATACGCTCCACCTCCACTGCTTATCTCTCACCGTCATGCGTCACAGACAAGGATAGGAACTTTTCTCTTGGAAAGTGACATTCAGACACGAATCCATAAAATAAGCATGCAATGAAGCCCCATGGCCCTTATTCGAGAATATAGAAAAGGAAAATGTTCATTTAAAACCCTTAAACCATACTTAATTAAAAAAAAAAAGGCCCCTTAAATTTTGAAACATCACTTCAAACTAGAGTGGTGAAATAAAATTAAAATATTAAGAAAAATGATAAACTTTTTGAATAAAAAAAATTCTTTAAATTTCTTTTTCCTTCACTCTTTCTTTCATTCAGAATACTCATTCTCTTGAATCCATACTTAAAAGAAGAAGTTGCATAGAGATCGATCACCATGGGACCCTCTATCAATTCTAGACATCAAACAACCCTGCCTTCTCTGTTGTGCCTCTCGCCCTCTACGTCCCTTTGATCTGAAGCTTCAATCTCTTTGTCCAAACCATTGAAGACTTCTCACGACAAACCAATATCTATGCCCTTAGAGTCTATCCTCGTGTGAGATTTGCTCTCTCTCTCGCATCTTCAATTCTCTTGTTTGCCCAACCAAATAGATATTTTCTTGCTATAAAATTTGCCTCAGCCTCTATGGCTAAATCATTGATCTTATGATTGAATCTTCAAAAAATTTAGAGATTTTGTGTTCTAAGACTTGTAATTATGATGAGTAACTCCTACTTATAAATATATATATATATATATATATATGAGTTGATCCTTTAGTTTTTTTGGATTGCTATTCTCTATCAATTTTATGGAAATATTAGCTTTAGAGCTTAAATTACGTTCTTACGCAAAAGGATAATGAACAATTGCAATAAAGAAATGAACAACTACAGTATGGGGAATTTGTAACTCTTTTTACCATGATAAAAGCATTAAAAATAAATTCAATTGGAACTAAGCGCATAAACAACTCCTATAAAAAACCATTTCAATATGGGAAATGAATAATTTTAATACGAGGAATTTGCAAATATCCTTTAAGCCTATTGTTATGATAGTAAAAATAGTTGTAAATTTCTTATATTAAAGTTGTTCATTTCCCTATATGAAATTGTTCATTGACTTACAACAGTTGTTGTACTATTACTAAATTTTAGTTTTATTTTAAATATTGTAATCATGGTAAAATGAGTTGTTCATTGCCCATATTGAAATTGTTCATTTCTCTGCATAAAGTTACTCATTGCCCTATATAAAGTTGTTCATTATCCTACATGAGTTATTCGTGCCATTATTAAATCTTGATTTTATTCTAAGTATTGTAATCAAGGTAAAACAAGTTGTACATTACCTATACTAAAGTTATTCACTTCCTTATATAAAGTTATTTCTTGCCCTAAAAAAGTGTTTGTACCATTATTGAATGTTGATTTTATTCCAAGTATTGTAACCATAATAAAATGAGTTATTCATTGCTTATAATAAAGTTGTTCATTGTAACATTATCAAAATTTAAACATGATTAACTAAACCTAATTAGAGTAATTAAGTTTATTAGTGAGGTATGTGGCTAGATAAGTCTAACGGTGTAATTTCAGTTCTAAATACGAGTTTGAAGTGAAGTCGAGTTACTCGAATATGAAAGAGGGAGAAAATCAGAAAGATGAAGTTCTGTGCCACATGTCGAGGCTTGTGGTTAATCCGCCATAATGCATTTGTGTCTAACAGTCAAAGATGGGCCTCTCTATGCTATGCATTGTGGTGTATGGTCATTTTTTTATAGAAATAAGAATGCAAAATGAATGCAGAATGGAAGAAAAGTAAAAGAGAAGAGAAGGAGAAATGAAAGAGCTCTGCTAGGACTTAAGGGACTTGAGCCTTTTTAGTGTTTTAGAGTTTTAAAATACTAAAGGTAAGTTCCTAAAGCCTAAATCTATCTTTCTCTTCCATTTTCTCTAGTTGGAAAGTTAGGCTTTGGTTGAGAATGATGATTTTCGGTCTATAAAGACTATGAGTCTGAATCCATTAACTTTAATAGAGTTAATGAGAGTTGATTAAGCTAATAAAACCTTGCATTTATAGTTTTATGAGTGTTGATGGTTGGGGGCAATAAATACCTGAAAATCTCACCTTAAATATGGTAGTTGGGGTAATGTGGCTGTATTAATGATTATTTAAGTATTCAATGACATTAATATGAGTTAGAGGAAGCTAAGAAATCTTATAGATACTCTTATATGAGAAGAGATTGAATCTTGAGAGTGAAGAAGTGTTTGTGTTGATAGTGAAATTATCTAAAAAAGGTGTATTGATGAATTATATTGTGATTAATTGTAAAGTAAGCATTTTGGCATCATTCAAGCTTCGTGAAAACTTTGAGAGTGTGTAATTGAGGAGTGAAACCTTTAACTTTTCAAAGGTTTGAGATAACAAAGAAAATTCTCTCTTATGCTCTTAGAAGTTAATTGATTTATTGATTTATGTCTTACAATTGAAATGTGTGAAATTTCTTAATGCAAGTATGGCATGAAATGTCACAAATTTATATTAAACTTCGTGGAGTTCAATGATTGTGATTAGTTGGAGTACAATGATAATAAAAATGTGAAGTTCTGTGAATTAATGTTAATAGAGTTCATGACTTATTTTATATGAAGTTCAATGATGTGAATTGTGATGGGTTCAATAATTATACATTAAGTGGAGTTTAGTGATTATATGATAAAGGAGTTCAATGACATAATGTGTTATAGAGTCCGATAATGTGTATTAAATGTAATTATATGATGAATATGTGTAATGAGAATACAATAAGATAATTGAGCATGCTTGAGTAGTGAATACTTGCATGCTATATGTTATTGCATATTTATGCATTGCATGATCATGAGAGATGGGAGTTTGCCTAAAAAGAAGAGTGGAAAATTAAAATCCATATGGTAAGGCTTCCATTAGAGCTTGATGGTTAGTCTAAATTTATTATTCATAATTGTCCTACTTATTCAATGAGGGACTATCTCACTAGTTCAATGAAGGGTTCAAACCTAGTTAGTTATCTATTTGTTCAATGAGAAAGCTAGTCTAGAGAGAATGACACCTCATAGTGTAAGAAATGGAGAAAATCATGACCTACTAGTGAGTTGAGCAACCTTGGTCGGGCAACCTTTCATGCGTGTTTTGGCCAGGGTAGTCTCAGTTTATAGATGATCCCAATGTATTATAGCCTACAGTTTCATGTCAAAGGCATAAAGAGGATATAAGGGAGGTGTGATCATGCATATAATCAAAAAAGGCATATAGTTGTCTATATTATGACCCTAGTGATGCAAAATCCTATGATTAGTACATATCTATATGAAACTGTGTTATCTAGTCATTATCTCATGATTATATGCTTTTATGATTGAGAAGTGTAAATATGTGTTTGAGTATGTTAAATTGTTTTGTGAATGACAATAATTGCCACTTGCATTTAAATTAATTAATATGTATTAGTATAAATTAGATGGACCTTGGTTATTAAGTAGTTGTACTCACTCCACTATCTTTAATATTACAAAAACTAGCTCAAGGGGATAAGACTGAGGGAAATAGATTGAGCCTTAAGACTTGATCCTAAAATTAGTAAGCCTCATTTACTTTGATTTAGTTATATCTATGACTTAGATGATGATGCCAACTAGGGAGAATTCATGTGTTGACTTACTTGCATTATGTGATTGTAGAATTATGTTATATATGTTAGGCTCTAGAATTGTATTTGTAATCATTATGAAGTCTATAACAGGGTCAAAATACTAGTACAAGTAAAGGATAAGAATTTCATGTGATTGATGAATGATTTATAATGTTAAGGCTCCTCCTCCTGTTTTTGAGATTAAGGAGTCGAGCAATGAAAATGTATTTTATGTGTTATGTTAATGATGTAGTGTATTGCATAGATCCATCTTGGTCTGTTGAGTGTGGTCTAAGTTGTATTTGTCGCTTTTGGCTTTTGGTATGAATTTTAGGCACTTAAGTATATGTAATTGTGACAAAAAGTGAATTTTAAAATGAGTGTATAACTTTTAACTGAGAAATAATTTGAGGATAAAACCAAAGCCATTAGTTAGAGCTAGGAGAAAGCTCTCTGTGAACACTTACATCGCCTCAATCGAACATCGAATGGAGAAATGGAACACATTAGAAATTTGTTCAGTTGTTGTTAAATGATAGCAAAATCTGCTGTCAAAATCGTGTAATGTCCCGTGGCACATGGTGCTTAAGCCGCAGGGTATGGCATAGAGTTTTACGAGCCACGGCACATGTATGATATGTAATATCTTAAGTTTTCTTATCAGTAATTATTAGTGTTTTCAAAAGGTAATTTGGTCAATTTAGATAAATTGTTATTTAACGAGGTTTAATATGGTTTTTGAATTCTTGGACAACCTTAAAAGAGGGCTAGGTCGAGGTTTAAGTAGGCCATAGTACAGAAGGAAACTTAAAATTTTGTGGAATTTTTCTGTGCCATACTCCGCGACGGGCGAGTCAGTGCACTACGACGCACGTGCAAAATTTGCACTTATCAAATGCAAAAAACAAATTGAAAACAAAAGAGAAAAAGAGAGATAACAAGAGAGCAACGGAGAAGAGCTTATAGTCTACTAGGGCACAATCCTTGAGCTACTTTGAGGGTATTTGAAGCTTGAATCACCATTGGGTAAGTTGTACATTTCCTCTTCTCCCTCTTTTATGGGAAAATCTGAACATTTGGGGTAATTGGGGCTTTGATTTTGGTTTCCTTAGGTTTAGACCGAACTCATTGGTTTATTTAAGATTTTGAAGAATTAAATTAAGCTTCTAACATTAAGTTTATGAGTTTTATAGTGATTGAAAATTTTTGATAAGGATTTGGATGAACCCTAAGTATAATTTAAGAATTTTGAGACAATGTAGGACATTGATTAGCAATTTTAGTGTGTTGAAATGTGTAATAGGATGGTTAGAGTGTGTGGGAATGGTTGATATTGTTAGAAAAGAAATTTGAGTATTTTAGATACTTAGAACCTAGAGAATTCGGAGTTATCCGGAGTGATA